GACGGGACGGGCATCCCGCGGGAAACGTGTCCCGCAGCCCCCGGTGCCGGTAACCGGGCGGAGCCCCGAGAGCACCGGGACAGGGATGGAACCGCTCCCCTGCCCGGCACCGGCGACCCTCGAGTGCCCGTCTGCACCCCGGTGTGTCCCCAAAAAGCGGTGATACGGGGCACAGCCAGGGCAGGGAAGGGCCGGACCCGCATCCGTGGGATGCGGGATACGGGAGGGGAAAAAGGGATGCCTGGGAGAAGAAGGGCGGGCCAAAGGTGGAGGTGAATAATTAACGGCGCGTAACGGCGGATTCGCAATTAAGTGACACAACCGGGCGCTTTTTGGCGTTCCATGAACACGGGGACAAGCGACAATTAGCTGGGACGCGGCCCCTCCCGGGAAGGGCCGGGATGAGGGATTAGCGCCGGGGCTGCCCTGGGAGAGGCAGCGCTGCGGGCACGGGAGCGCCGGGCTCAAATCCCGTTAATCATCCCTTGCTGCCCGCGTGTTTTGGTTTCCTGGGAAAGGGCCGTGCTCCAGAAACGGGATCCGATGGAATGCGGGCATCGCTGCGGGGGGAAATGGGGACAGGAGGGGATGATCCCTGAGAGAGGCAGGGCTAGATGGGATATTGGGAATAAATCCTTCCCTGGGAGGGTGAGGACGCCCTGGCACAGGTTGCCCAGAGAAGCTGTGGCTGCCCCATCTCTGGAAGGGTCCAAGGCCAGGTTGGACGGGGCTTGGAGCAACCTGGGAGAGTGGAAGGTGTCCCTGCCCATGGGGATGATCCTTCATCTCCCTTCCCACCCAAACCATTCCAGGATTCCGTGGGATTCTCAGCTCAGTGACCTCAGCAGGAGAAAACCCTTGAGTTACAAACACCTGGAGCATCCAACCCAACATTCCCATTCCTGCCCCTCCCAGCACACACCGGCTCAGTCCTGGAATTCCAAGCACCACCATTCCAGCTGCAAACAGCTGCATTTATCCACGGAATGCAAGGAAAGCCCCTCACTCCCGGGCAGCACGGGAAGGCACTTCCCAGGCTCCAGGTGCTTCCCAAGCCCTGGACACACAGAGGAGGAGCAGCTCCATCACCATCCCTGCTGCTCCCTCGGGAGGGTTCCCTCCCCAGTCCAGCAGGAAAAGCAGCCAAACGGGTCCCTGGTGCCTCCAGGGCTCCCCATCCCAGCCCAGCACTGATTCCCCACAAACACAACCCGTTCCCTGAGGGAATCCTCCCTCGTGCCCTGGAGCAAAGCCCTGGGGACGGATGTTATTCGTGGCTGGGGAAACGGGCTCGCCCACAGCTCTGCCAGGCAGAAATATCCATCATTCCCCTAAAAAATTCAGGTTACAGGGACACTCTGGGGCTCGGGAGACCCAGATTCCAGCCCCACCTTTTCCAGGGGCCTGCGGGAGAATCTGGGAATGTTTATTTTGGCCACCTGTGCCGCGAGTCTCAGGTTTTAAAAGGGGGGCAAACCCGGATCAGCTTCTTCCTAAAGTGCTTTGAGGTCTCTGGATGAGGAGCACTGAGGGTTGGTGCAGTCACAAGCAAGGCTAGAAAAGGTCCATCCATCGGGATTTGGATTCTGGTTGTCCTGCTGCCATCGCTGTTCTCCACAAATCCCTGACAGGAGGGTGGAGCCAGGTGGGAATCGGGCCCTGTTCCCAGGGAAGGAGGGACAGGATGAGAGGAAATGGCCTCAAGCTGTGCCAGGGGGTGTTTAGTTGGATATCAGGGAAAATTTCTTCATGGAAAGGGCAGTTAGGCGTTGGAACAGGCTGCCCAGTTCTGGGTGGAGTCCCCATCCCTGGAAGTGTTCAAAAACTCGTGGATGTGGCTCCTGGGGACATGTTGTAGTGGTGACACAGCAGTGCTGCTTAAAGGTTGGACTTGATGACCTCGGAGGGCTTTTCCAACCTTAACAATTCCATGATTCCATGATCTTGTTCCACGTTCTTGCAATGCCTCATCTGCACCTGTCTCAGCTGCTCCAGCTGGAAAAACAAAGCTGGGACCTCTGGAAGGTGGATGGGGTTGGATCCATGGAATGGAGTTGTGTTCACCCCTTCCCTGGTGATGCAAAGCTTGGAGAGCTCTGGGATAAGAGATTGATGGGGCACAGGATCCAGAGGCAGGGACAGGAGGAGAAGGGGCTGCTCCTGGTAAATCCACACTGGGCAGAGCTGGGAACAGCTCTGGGAACATCAGGGACTCTGAAGCCCAATCCCTGCTCACAGCCTGGCACAGGGAGCAGCACGTTATCCAGCCTGGGATGGAATTCTCGTGGCCTCTCCAGAGTCTGGCCTGGCCAGCAGATCAGAGGCAACTCCCTGAGCAGCTGTTGGGGTGAAATCAGTGAAATTCCCTCTCTTGCATCTTTTTCCAAGGGGAAAAGGGGCAAGATGGGAATGGAGGAGCCTCACAGAGCTGGAGTTGCTGAACACCAGGACACAGCCCAGCAGTGCCAACCAGGAGGGATTCCCTCAGGGGACTGCTCCCCTCAGAAAAGCAGGGAGAGAGAAAAAAATTAAAGAACTCAGTACAAGTCTGGCCTTGGCAGCAAGGAAAGCCCCCAAACTCCAGTGTAAATGAGGACAAGGAGTCACCTCCCCTGGGCTGGGGCTGGAAACTGGAGCTGGATGCAGCTTTTCTCCTCATTCCCATAAATGGAATACTGAGCATCCCTGTTAGAGGTTTGTATCATCTCCTGCTTCCACAAACCGACTGCAGGAACTGGGAGAGAAGAGCTGAGGAGCTGCTGACTCCAGACATGGGGCACTGGGGGGGATCCCAGCACGTGGCAGGGCCGGGACACGAACTGGGTGATGAGGTTTCCCCTTCCCGAGGCTGCCCAGCTTCCTCAGAAGATCCCACATAAATTCCAAGGCGCTGGGACTGCCTGGGATTTTGGATGTGTCCCGAGCTTGGGGGTCACTCTGAGCAGATCAGAGCTCAGGTTTAAGGAGCGAGCAGAGGAATCCAGGATGAGTTTATTTACACCAATTGGAAGGACACAGGGATCAGGTGTGGCCCTTCCTCTGCAGGAACAAAACATCACAGGCTGTTTAAAGCTCAAATTTCCCAGAATTATGGAATGGTTGGGGTGGGAAAGGGCCCTTAAAGCTCATCTCATCCCACCCCCTGCCATGGGCAGGGACACCTTCCACCAGCCCAGGCTGCTCCAAGCCCTGTCCAACCTGGCCTTGGACACTTCCAGGGCTGGGGCAGCCACAGCTTCTCTCATTACCAATCACTTGAGCCCCATCCCATCCCTTTCCTCACCCACAACAAGCTCCTGCTCTCCTTGTCCCGCCCCTCTCCCGGAGCATCACTTTGTGGTGGGAAAAAAAAAAAAAAAAAAAGGAGATTTCCTCTGAAGTGGACAAAGCCCAGAGTTACTGTCATGAAGCACTGCCCCCTCCTCTCAGTGCCTGCCCAGGAGCCCAGGCCCAGCCAGTCTGCAGGGACCATTCAGTTTGCTCAGTGACCACGACCGGGTTGTCTCTGGGCCCCTCCTTGCGCCTCGTTTGCTTTGTGTGGAGTCAAAACAAGATCCCCCCCCCCCGACCCGCAGCCACGGGGCTGCTGGTTCCAGACCCCCCCGTCCTGCTGCCATTCACCCCAGCTCAGGCTGCCATCCCTCCCAGCCTGGCAGGTTATTCTGTCTGTGCAGGGAGCAGAAGGGAAACCAGCTTAGTGTGCTGAAAGGGCAGTGCTGACGGCAGGGAAACACCCGGGGCCAGCAGAATTCCTGGGCCCTTTTCCCCAGGGATACCAACCAGGGGGATGCTGGGCCAGAGCTCTGCAGCTGCTCCTGAACTCCTCTTTGGGGGGTGTTTCCCTGCCCTGGCTCAGCAGTGTTTGCAGGATGCTGTTCCCTCTCCCCCCAGCTTTTCAGGTGTTTAATACAAATTCGCTCGCTCACAATCGATTTTCCCTTTCCTTTACACTCCAAACCCTGTCCTGGTCAATCCTTTAGTGCTTTTTATTCAGATTACACAGGTTCTGCTGTGCTCCCTGAGCCCTCCCAGTGTGATGCTGTTCAAGAACTCTGCAGCTCCACTGCCCAGAAACTCCCATTTCTGGGGGTTTTAAGCAATATTTTGCACAACTTTCCTCCCACTCCCCTCAACTTTTTTAGGTTTTAATACGAATTTGCTCACTAACAATTAACTTTCCCTTTCCTTTACGCTCCAAACCCTGTCCTGGTCAGTCCTTTAGTGCTTTTTATTCAGATTACACAGGTTCTGCTGTGCTCCCTGAGCCCTCCCAGTGTGATGCTGTTCAAGAGCTCTGCAGCTCTTTTGGGGGTTTTTGGCAACGTTTGCACAACTTTCCTCCCACTCCCCTCAACTTTTTTAGGTTTTAATACAAATTTGCTCACTAAAAATTAACTTTCCCTTTCCTTTACACTCCAAACCCTGTCCTGGTCAATCCTTTAGTGCTTTTTATTCAGATTACACAGGTTCTGCTGTTCAAGAGCTCTGCAGCTCCACTGCCCAGAAACTCCCATTTCTGGAGGTTTTCAGCAATATTTGCACAACTTTCCTCCCACTCCCCTCAACTTTTTTAGGTTTTAATACGAATTTGCTCACTAACAATTAACTTTCCCTTTCCTTTACGCTCCAAAGCCTGTCCTGGTCAGTTCTTTAGTGCTTTTTATTTAGATTATACAGGCTCTACTCACAGTCTGTGCTTCCCAAGACCTACCACTCATGGCCCAGGAGGACTGGGGGTTCCTCGAGGCTGTAAATGACACCTTGGCCACTGTCCCCTCCCAGCTTTGGGTCCTTGGAGGCTTCAAAGAGAACACAAGATGAGGACATGAATTTCACATTGACATTTTTATTAACGCCAACTGTTTTTAAATCTTTTTTTTTTCCTTTTTGTTTTTTTTTCTTTTTTTTTCTTTTTTTCCTCTTTGTAACCTTTTTGTTTTTTTTTTTTTTTTTTTTTTTCTCTCTCTCCTGGTTTTTTTTTTTTTAAACAATAGCACAAAAAAATGTTTCAGGGAAGCAGTCTGACAGTTAGTCTGATGACCTTCCGAAATACAGTTAAAGCCACACCAAATACGAATTCCTGTTAAAGAAAAAAGAATAAAAGGGGGAGGGAGGGGAAAAATATGGAACTCCCAACCTTTGCACTGTTAGAGGGTGTTGTGGCTGGTTAGTACCAGGCTGCCTCGGGAGGGGATGATGGCACACAGCTTGGACTTCATCATCATCATCACGCCAGTCAGCACTAATTTAAGGCTTCTTAATTACCATCGACATCACAGAAAGGAGCGGAAAGCTACGGCCAGGAGGAGGTGGGAGCAGCTGGATCCTTTGGAAAAGCAGTGGTGGCTCGGCCAGGAGAGCCCAGCCCAGCCCCACGGGCATCTCCTCCCCTGCATGCACGGGGAGGGGGCGGTTCTGAACTGCAGAAGTGGATTTGGCTCCAGCCTTTCCCTTCCTGGGTGTGGCTGGGGAAGGTGTTTCCTCCCAGTCCCCTTCTCTCTCTGAAGGAACAGCAGCGGGGGGACCCCAGGAGGGGGACGGAGGAGCAACAGAACAGGTTTTGTTTTTGCTGAGAGGTGACACAAAAGGGAGGAGGGAACCTACAGTCCATGGGGTGGGGGGTTTGCAGGAACATCTCCCCAAATCCTTGCCCTGGGGAGGATGCACAGACTGTGTTATACCACTACCTGCCTTCCCCAGGGACCTGCTCCACACCAGCTGAGGCTTTAACCCCTTCCTGCCCCAGCCTCTCCACTGAGCTAGAAACCACTGGTTGCCTTTTCTTTCTTTCTTCGGGGGTGGGGGAGGGTGTAAAAAACAGAACATCTGTCAATAAGAGTGTCAGGAGGGGAGGGGGGTGTTAAATATTTTAACCACTGACAAGGCTTGAGGAAGTTTCACAGTTTTGTTATGCTCTATTTTATTACTATCATATTTACAGATTTCTTTCGGGTTCGTTTTGTTTTGTTTTGTTTTGTTTTCTCTCTTTCTCTTTTTCGCTGGATTTGCCGATAATTTTAACAGAATTTTTTTGTTTGTTTGTTTGTTTGTTTGTTTTTTTCCAAATCTGGAGTGTGTGAGCAGGAGGAACCAGTTAAAACTCTACATTCACGGTCCAATCCCCAACCTGAGGGCTGAGAAAAAGAAAAAAAAAAAAAAAGAAGGAATAAACAAAAAAAAAAAAAGAAAAAAAAGGGAAAAAAAAAAGAAAAGGAAGAAAAAAGAAGGAAAAAAAAAAAGAGAAAAAAAGGAAAAAAAGAAAAAGAAAAAAGAAAAAAAGGAAAAAAAAAAAAAGGGAAAAAAAGGAAAAAAAAAATAAAAAAAAAAGGAAAAAAAAAAAAAGAAGAAAGGTACTGTACTCCAAATTTTTCTTGGCATTCCGGAGGGGGTGGCTCGTCCCTGTGCCCCCCGCGGGGGCGCGGCAGGGCAGGGCTCTGCCGCGGCGGGCGGGTGGGTGGGTGGGTGGCACCTGGGGCTGGGGTGGGGAGGGGGCTCACACGGTGGCCGGGGGGCCCCTGCGCTGGGCCAGGAAGTGGTGGATGTTGTCGGCGTCCCGCTTGAGCCAGGCCGCGTTGAGCAGGATGTTCTCGCAGCACTGCTGCACCGTGCGCTCCGCCGACGGCGCGGGGTGGCTCTCGAAGAAGGCCTGGGTAGAACGGGAATCGGAACGGGTGAGGATAAAACGGGAATCGGAACGGGGTGAGGATAAAATGGGAATCGGAACGGGGTGAGGATAAAACGGGAATCGGAACGGGGTGAGGAGATCGGAACGGGTGAGGATAAAACGGGAATCGGAACGGGTGAGGATAAAACGGGAATCGGAACGGGGTGAGGATAAAACGGGAATCGGAACGGGGTGAGGATAAAACGGGAATCGGAACGGGGTGAGGATAAAACGGGAATTGGGCTTTTGAGAGTCCCAGAACTGCAGAATCAGCCGGGTTGGAAAAGCCTTCCGAGATCGTGGAGTCCGACCCTTGCGCCAACCCTGCCCCGGTTCCCAGAGCGTGGCACTGATGCCACATCCAGTCCCACCTCAAACAGCTGATGTGTGTCTGTAATGTCTGCAAGAGGGATTCTAATCCTTATCCTCAGCTGTGATATTCATATCAACCAGGGTCTCCTCATAGGCCTTGTCGTGCATGACTCATCTTTACACTTACAGCAGTGCATGAGAATTGCAGCCCTTCCCTTACATACCTGTTCTTCCTAAATGGCTGGCATGAACCAGTGACACTACCTACTCCTCAGCGTGTGATGGCATCTATGACAACAAAGGACACAGGTGACTCTGCCACCTCCCTGGGCAGCCCATTCCAAAACCCAATCACCCTTTCTGTGAAGAACTTCTTCCTAATGTCCACCCCAAACGTCCCCTGGTGCAGCTCAAGGCTGTGCCCTCTTGTCCTGTTGCCTGGGAGAAGAGCTCGACCCCCACCTGGCTCCCCCCTCCTGTCAGGAGGTTACTGAATCAAATCACTGGCAGCTCACAAAGTATTAACAAGAACAATTAACAAGTGTTGGCAGTTATTTAGTGTTTTGGAGTTATATTTACAAACTGAACTCAGCCTGTAACCAATATAACTGGTCCTGCACAGACACCCCAACAATCCCACCCTGTCCCTCAGGGCATTGTCCAGATGCTCCTGGAGCTCTGGCAGCCTTGCTGCTGTGCCCACTGCCCTGGGGAGCCTACTCAGTGCCCAGCCACCCTTTGGGGGAAGAACCTTTTCCCAAAATCCAGCCTAAGCCCCCCTGACACAGCTCCAGCCATTCCCTGGGTGCTGTCCCTGCTCACACAGAGCAGAGACCGGAGCTGCCCCTCGGGAGGAAGCTGCAGACCCTCAGTCTCCTCTTCTCCAGCTGAACAAACCAAGTGCCCTGACCCTCAGCTTCCCCTCAAGGCCCTTCCCCATCCTTGGGTCCCTCCTTTGGACACTCTCCAACAGCTTTAGATCCATCTTATCTCGTGGCACCCAGAACTGCCCCCAGAGCTCGAGGTGAGGCCGGGCCGGCACAGACCAAAAACCTCGCTGAGTCTGCAGGATGTGTAATCCCAAACAGGGAGCAGGCACAGCAAAATCCCTCCATTCCTATGCTAAAGGAAAGCCACAATGGCTTTTCCACGAGCCAGCCCCCTCCTGCCCTGTCCTGTCCTTGCTGCAGGGACAGCACGTGGCCCTGAGGAGCCGAATCCAGCCCCCCAGGCAGCAGGTCCAGCGGGTATTTCGGGACACCCGAAGGAGACGTGGGGGAAGCCTGAGGCCACTGTGCTCAAGCACTTGTCCCGGGATCAGGTTTCCCAGCGTTCCTCCCAGGCCCCTTTCCAAGCTGTGCAACGACCTCCAAAGGCCCAGGCAGTTTTGCTGGATAGTCTCACATTTCCTCCTCCAGCACCAACACCATCGATCCCCCGCCAGCAGCTGAGCCTGGAGGAGCTTTCCCAGAGGCTGCTGTGACTTTGCATTTTCCAATGGGCTGAAGGAGAAGGAGCTGGCACAGCCAGGAGCCGTCCCTGCCTCCATCCAAGCAGCTTTTCCCGGGATTTGGCACTAGTGTAGCCACAAGGTGACACGGAGGCTCAGCCCCGTGAACTGCTCCGCTCAGAGCTCGCTGTGCTGGCTCAGGGAGCTCTCTGGGAAAGGAGCTGGGATTTAGTTAGGGCTGATTTTTCTGGTAGATGTTTTGCAAAGTGTTTTTTAAGAAATAAAAATACTAACCATAGTGCAGGATTTCTCTGTAAAATCACTTGAGCTATTAAATCTTTCCTAAAATCACTAGATGGTAAAAGGGGCAGAGTGAGCTCATGGCTCAGCTGATCTTTGGAATAAGAATTCCTCCTGAGGATTTTCCTACCAGGAAAGCCATAATTAAGGGCCACATTTTTAGGTTTCTTCCTCCAAGAAGTCATTCTTGTAAAAGAATAAATCATCAAGCCCACACCCCTTCTCAGAACTCCACCGAGACAAGGGGGTGTAACAAAATCACAACACCTTGAGCCCCCAACCCAAGACAGACTCTGCAAAGACACTGCTCTGCCCGGGCCAAAGCCTTGCCCTTGTACACAGCACAGAAAACTTGGAGCAGAGGGTGGAACTGAGCCAATTCCTGCCAGGAATTCCCCCTGGCTGTCACCCCAGGGAGCCCCAAACGTGCCCTGTCAGTCTGGGGAGGACGAGCCCCAGCTCGGGGTGGAACTCGGGGAGGCTCAGAACTGCTGCCAATCTGTGCTGGGTTTTATCAAAGCTCAGAAGAAGGAAAGAGAAATCACTGGAATTGCACACTGCTTGGAAAATGCCAACTGAAGGAGTTCCAGTGATATTGGATCCAACCCAAAGCAGTGCAGCTCAGGGGCAGAACTGAGCAAAGCCTCAGCCCAGCACCAGAATCCACGTGGAAACTCCTGGCTCTCCCCTCAGTGACAGGCACACGAGGCCTGTCACAGATTAATTAACCACTTCTTTAATTAATGGCTCTTACCTTCACTTCTGCAGCCATTTTGTCATTTGCAAATCCATCCACTGTGAGCTGAAGGGAAAAAAAAAAAACCAGCGTGAGCCAAGGGAGAGCCTCCAGCACTTCCCACAGGACAGTTTGGGTCTGGCCCTTCCTCAGCCCTACCTTTATTAGTCTGGATATTAAGAATCCCCCTTGGTATCGGTTATAAAGTTCCTCCCAGTTGTCCCTTACAAATTTCCAAGCAGCTTTCCTGCCCTGCTTGCTGCCTCCAGCAACTCCTCCGATCACCGACACCGTGTCCTGGGGACGTACCTCTTCCTGGGGAGGGGAAAAAAATAAGGAATATTCCACGCTGCTCCATCAAACCCAGCACGCTGGCTTCGTGCTGTTCCCTGCTGGATTGGCCTTGTGCATTTCTACACCTCGAGCTGGCAATAAAAGCTTTTTTTTTTTTTTTTTTTTACCCCAAAAATTTTAAGGTATGACTCAAAGGTTTAATCTGTCAATTAAAAAAAAAAAAATTCCCTAAGAAGAATTTTAAGATGCAATTCAAAGACTTCATAATGAAGATAATTTCTCCTGTTTTAACACATTTTATCCTCGCAGTGCTGTACCCCCAAGTGCTCTGAACACACTTGCCACTCCCACAAGGTAGGGGTTATACAGTACCCTGAATAAATATCCTAATATTAGGATTATTATTATAATTATTGTGATTATCCTACTATCCAGCAGCTTTCCCAAGAACTTACTGAAAGTGCAAAGGTGAGAACTTTTTGAATCAGTTCTGGCTGAGAGATGGCTCCAAGAACACGTTCAATTCTGTTCTTCTCCTCCTGCATGTCTGCCTGCTTGTGGAGCTTCAGGGCCAAAGAGAAGAGTGTTAAAACACAAAATAAAAAAGGCTGACTCCTCACCTAATGGACTCCCTGGGTATGGCAGAGCTGCTAATTAATCTTCCAGCCCAATATGTGACAAATTGACCTGGCTGGTGACTCACCCTGCAGTTATTCCCCCACCACAGACTCACCCCGTGTCCAGGAGCACAAATTAAATCGGTAATAAACTCATTTGCATCGCTGTTTATATAAAGGTCAAGTAGTTGAGAAGGTCAAGTGTTCCTCCAGCAGGGAGGAAGGATCCCAAAAGGAGAGCTGGGACACTCCACTAGGTGGCAATTTGACACCAGGCAGGGAGCAGGGCCCGAGCCTGGGGGGGGATAAAACACAGCCCAGAGGAGCTTTTGGGGTGGGATGTTGAGTCTGGGTTTGAGTGGGAACCCACCTTCAGCATGGTGTCCAAAGTGGAGCTGTCCCCGTGCTTCAGCACCGTCACATAGACCTAGGACAGGGCAAAAAACCCCAAGGAGTGCCTTTGGAACTGCCAGGAGTGGGACAGTTTGTGCACACTGGGGTCAGAACTCAGCCCAGGGAACAGGCCCAGCACTGACCCCGTGGGTGTTCTCAGGCTGCATTGCAGAGATGCTTCACCTCCTTCACTTTTCCCCCCTCAATCTCAGCATCATTTTGGCAATTCCAGCCACAGCAAAGCCCCAGGATGGCAGATCCAGGGATATTTCAGCCTCCCCAGGACCATTTCCTTCGGGATCACAAGCTTTGGACTGAGCCAAGCTCCCACCCCCTCCACCCAAACCACCCCTCAACACTGGTTTTCCTCGAAATTCCCCATTTTTGGGAGTGGGGACAGCGTTTTGGGGCCCCAGGGTGTGCAGTAACCTACAGGACTCCTCAGGTCAGCTGACAGGATGTGTTTTCCTTCCACGTGGTCCTTAAACCGGCGTCGGGCCTCTTCTAACGTTGCCTTGTGCCCAGCTTTTCCCAGTTTTCCCAAGACCAGACCCCTCAGAAGGGCATCTAGGTGACCTAAGAGTGAGGAAGAGGGGAAAAAAAATGTAATTACTGGGACACACAATGGAGCTCAGGCCTCTCCTTCCTGCTGGGAGGAATACGTTGATTTTCGGTGGGGAATACATTGATTTTTTTTTCACAAAAAGGAGAGGAAAGTTCCAGCCCAAACACAACCTGTGAGTCTAAAACCTGAGTTGTGTCAGTAATTTGAACCATTTTACCTACACCAGGACTGACCAGGACAGGTAAACATGCACATATAACATGGTTTTCCATGTAATCCTTGTAATCCAAGGATTTTCCTGCACTCCAGCAGATGGAAAGTTAAGCAGAGAATTTTTACCAGGTACAGAAGGGTTTTACCCCTTTTAACTTGTGCATAACAGAAGGTTCTTTTGGGGGTTTTGTGTCTGGTTTTAAGTATAAAAATACCCCTTGAATGCTTCCTTTTCCTCCCTTCTCTCCCCTTTCCCAAATTCTTGATGGCTCATTTAGAGTTTTCCAAAACCACCACTGGATTTCACAGAGGTTTCTCCCCACAAATTTGAATTATTGACACGAAATTTCCAAAGCCACCACTGGATTTCACAGAGGTTTCCCCCATAATTTTGAATTATTGACACATAAGATTTCCAAAGAGATTCGCCCCAAAATTTTGAATTACTGACACAAAAGTTCCAAAGAGATTTCCTTCAAAATTTTGAATTTTCGACACAAATTTTCCAAACCCACCACTGGATTTCACAGAGATTTCCCCCATAATTTTGAATTATTGACACAAAAGTTCCAAATCCACCACTGGATTTCACAGAATTTTCCCCCATAATTTTGAATTCTTGACACCCAAGATTTCCAAAGAGGTTTCCCCCAAAATTTTGAATTATTGACACCTAAGATTTCCAAAGAGGTTTCCCCCATAATTTTGAATTCTTGACACCCAAGATTTCCAAAGAGATTTCCTTCAAAATTTTGAATTTTTGACACAAATTTTCCAAACCCACCACTGGATTTCACAGAGGTTTTCCCCCTAAAATCTGGAATTACTGACACAAGAGTTTTCCAAAGCCACCACTGCATTTCCCCATAATTTTGAATTGTTGACACAAAAGTTCCAAAGCAACCACTGGATTTCCCCCATAATTTTGAATTATTGACACCCAAGATTTCCAAAGAGATTCCCCCCAAAAATTTTGAATTATCGACACAAATTTTCCAAACCCACCACCGGATTTCACAGAGATTTCCCCCATAATTTTGAATTCTTGACACACAAAATCTCCCAAACCACCACTGGATTTCACAGAGATTTCCCCCATAATTTTGAATTCTTGACACACAAAATCTCCCAAACCACCACCGGATTTCACAGAGGTTTTCCCCCATAATTTTGAATTCTTGACACACAAAATTTCCCAAACCACCACTGGATTTCATAGAGGTTTCCCCTAAAATTTGAATTATTGACACCCAAGATTTCCAAAGAGATTCCCCCCAAAAATTTTGAATTATCAACACCAAAATTTCCCAAACCCACCACCGGATTTCCCAGAGATTTCCCCCATAATTTTGAATTCTTGACACACCAAATTTCCCAAAGCACCACCGGATTTCCCAGAATTTCCCCCCCATAATTCTGACTTATCGACACCAATTTCCCAGCCTTTCCCCCCAATCTTGCCCTCCCCCCGAGCTCCCCAGCCCCCCCAATCTTGCCTCCCCCCGAGCTCCCCAGCCCCCCAATCTTGCCTCCCCCCCGAGCTCCCCAGCCCCCCAATCTTGCCTCCCCCCCGAGCTCCTCAGCCCCCCAATCTTGCCCCCCCCCGAGCTCCCCAGCCCCCCGGCTGCAGCAGGAGCTGCTCACCCTCCCCAGGCCGGGGGTCCCAGCCCAGCCTGTCCCCGATGGGGGAGAAGACGTCCCTGACGAAGGCCTGGATGTCCTCGTGGAAGTCGGTGTGGGACAGGAGCGTGGACAGGATGCCCAGGTTGCAGCTCAGGTCGCTCCACACCGTGTAGTTGGGCTCGTTCACAAAAGCTTCCATCACTTTGAGAACCTCCACGGTGCTGATGATCCCAGCTCGGGCCTGGCAGGGAGGAAAAACACGGAATAATCTTATTTTCAGGCAGAATTAAGGCATTGAAGAGCTCCTTGGATATTTACTTATTGCCTGTTGCTTATTTATTATTTTATTTATTTTATTATTATTTTATTTATTTTATTATTATTTTATTATTATTTTATTTGTTTATTATATTTTATTATTTTATTATTATTTTATTTATTTTATTTATTTTATTATTATTGTATTTATTTATTATTATTTTATTTATTTTATTATTATTGTATTTATTTATTATTATTTTATTATTTTATTATTATTTTATTTATTTATTATTATTTTATTATTTTATTATTATTTTATTTATTTATTATTACTTTATTTATTTTATTATTATTTTATTTATTATTATTTTATTTATTTATTATTTTATTATTTTATTTATTATTGTTTTATTTATTTTATTATTATTTTATTTATATTATTATTTTATTATTATTTTATTTATTAGTAATTTATTTATTTATTATTATTTTATTATTTTATTTATTATTATTTTATTTATTTATTATGATTTTATTATTTTATTTATTATTATTTTATTTATTTATTATGATTTTATTTATTTATTATGATTTTATTTATTTATTATCTTACACCCGCCCAAATGTGATTTTAACCAAACACTGGTGAGATTTAGAGATTTAATCTTTGCTTTTTTTTGTTAAATTGGGAGCATGAAAAGGTCGTTTTTGCTTCCCATGAATTGGTGAGAGCACAGCACTGCCAGGGAAATTTGGATTAATTGGGTTACAGCAGCAGGAGATGAAAAATTGGGATTAATTGATTAATCAGGAGATCAACAGCTCCAAGCACAGAAAAATAACACCTACTGGTATAGCCAACCAGATAATTCACATTTTTGTTAATTTGGGATCAGCTCCTTCAGATTTTTGTTAATTTGGGCCCAGCCCAGTAATTTATGGTACTGGAAAAATCAACAGTGACATTTCTAAGAAATAAATAGCAATGTTTCTAATAAAGAACAATGTTTATAATAAATAATATCTATAATATCTGATACGATTGATGATAAAAGATTTGTCATAAAGAGTAATATTTCTAATAAATAAACAATATTGATAATAAATAATATTTCTAATAAATAATATTGACGATAAACAATACTTCTAACAAATAAACAATATTGATCACAAATAATATTTCTAATAAACCAACAATACTGATCATAAATAATATTCCTAATAAATAAACAATATTGATCATAAATAATATGGAAAATAAATAATATGGATAATAAACAATATCAATTATAAAGAATATAAATAATAAATAATATTGATAATAACTATTATGGATAATAAATATGGATAATTAAATAATATGGATAATTAAATAATATGGATAATTAAATAATATGGATAATTAAATAATATGGATAATAAATAATATCAATTATAAAGAATATGAATAATAAATAATATTGATAATAAATATTATCGATAATAAATAATATGGATAATGAACAATATTGATCATAAATAATTTGAGTAAATAATATTGATACTAAATATTCCAGATAATAAATATTATGGATACTAAATATTATGGATACTAAATAAATGGATAATAAATAAATGGATAATAAATAAATGGATAATAAATAAATGGATAATAAATAGTATTGATACTAAATATTATGGATACTAAATATTATGGATACTAACTATTATGGATACTAACTATTATGGATACTAACTATTATGGATACTAAATATTATGGATACTAAATAGTATTGATAATAAATATTATGGATACTAAATATTATGGATAACAAATAATATGGATAACAAATAATATGGATAACAAATAATATGGATAACAAATAATATGGATAATAAATAATACGAATAATAAATAATACGAATAACAAATAATATGGATAAATAAATAATATGGATAAATAAATAATATGGATAATAAATAATATGGATAATAAATAATATGGATAATAAATAATATGGATAATAAATAATTGATAATAAATAACGATACTAACAATAAATAAAAACCAATCCCACGCAGCCACCCCAAGGGCATTTTGCCCGTAAGAACTGCCTTTAACCCCAATTTCTGGAGCTTTTCGCAGCCTTACCAGCGAGAAGAGATCGTTCTGCAGGCCCAGCCTGTCCACGGGGGGCAGGGAGAGGTCCCTGATGGCCGGGAGCAGAGCCTCCAGCATGGCCGGGCTGTACTGGGTGCGGTAGAACCCCACCGTGCCCAGGTTCAGCTGCAAGGACCAAACAGCCCCAGGTTACCAGCAGGGAACAAGGCAAATGATGCTTTTTGGGGTTTTTTTTTTAATGGTTTGGACCAGTGGAAACATCCCCAGGCTTGGCAGGTCAGGGGAGGGAATGGTTGTAATTTAAATAAAAAGAGAAAAGCATGAGAAGTGAGGGGGAAAAAAACCAAGATTTCCAAGGAGAAAAGGAGAGGAGAGGAAAGGAAAGGGAGCTCCCCCAGCAGCTCCTCCAACAAGGGGCCCAACCACTGCTGCCTTTCTGGTTTTAAATTCTCTCTCAGTTTTTAAACTCTTTCAGTTTTTAAATTCTCTCAGTTTTTAAACCCTCTCCCAGTTTTCAAATTCCCTCCCAGTTTTCAAATTCCCTCCCAGTTTTCAAATTCCCTCCCAGTTTTCAAATTCCCTCCCAGTTTTCAAATTCCCTCCCAGTTTTTAAACCCTCTCAAATTCCCTCCCAGTTTTCAAATTCCCTCCCAGTTTTTAAACCCTCTCCCAGTTTTAAATTCCCTCTTAATTTTTAAACCCTCTCCCAGTTTTAAATTCCCTCTTAATTTTTAAACCCTCTCCCAGTTTTTAAACCCTCTCCCAGTTTTTAAACCCTCTCCCAGTTTTTAAACCCTCTCCCAGTTTTTAAACCCTCTCCCAGTTTTTAAACCCTCTCCCAGTTTTTAAACCCTCTCCCAGTTTTTAAACCCTTTCCCAGTTTTTAAACCCTCTCCCAGTTCTCAGATTCCCTTTGGCTGCAGCAGAGCTCAGCAGTGGCTTTTTTTTCCACACATGCACATTTGTCTGGCAGTGGCCACCAGAAATCCTTCCCACTAATGAAAGATAAACAGGATTATTTTTGCTGAGGATGGACTTGAACTAAACTCTGGTTGCCCCGGGAGACTAAAAAAGCCACCCCATCTTCCACTCCAAAGCTGCCTCTAATTGGATTCCTCAAAAGTCCCAGTTTACATCGTCTGGAGTAGTTTTGGAAGGGAAAAGGGCTCCACTAAGGAAGTGTCCAGAGAGGAGCCAAAATCCAACAGCAGCACAGAAGAAACACAAGATTCCAAGAGGAAGGAATAGATTTTAAAAAAGAGGAAAATGAAAGGCAAGGGAACATTCCAGTGGCTCCAAACCGTGTTCTCCCCCCTGAGGACTCACCTTCACCCACTGCTCTGGTTTGGTGTCTTTCAAAACCACAGTGAGCTCTGGTTTGTCCATCAGGATCTGCATTTTGGCACAGGTGGGGTCATCACTTGTGCAAATACTTATGGGCACCATCCACATGGGGAAATCCTCCCCTGGAAGGAGAAAAGGGGGGAAAGGAAGGTCTGAGGAAAAGCACAGCACTGAGTAACAAGGTGTTCAAACAGGGTCTGCACTGGCTGCTTCAAATTAAATGGAACAGAGGCACAAAACTGAAAACTGAAGGGGAGTGACAGTTTTAGAGTTAAAAGCCAAGAATGTTTAAATCACCTTTGAAGGCAAGCATTTTAATTTATATAAGCATGGAAGAGGGGTGGGATCTGTGGTGGAATCAGAGGTGGTTTTTATTGCAGCCCCCACTCCAAACCAGCTGCTTCCAGAGCTCCTCAGATGCAGCACTGGCCCCAAACTGGACATTCCTGAAGGAACAGGGAGCCAGGGAGTGCAGAGGAATCCTGCTCTCCACGCAAGGACACGGGAACCACACGTGTGAGAGCTTCAGCCTTCGAATTCCTCACGTTTTCCCACCCGGATCCAGGGTGGGAATTACTCAGGGCACTGCCCTGCTCTGCCCTGGGGCTGTTCCACCTCCCAAAATTGCTGCCAGTGCATGAGCAGCAAGGGTTACCCTGTTCCTGCTCATCTTACCAGTATATGGTCCACTGGCACAGAACTTCTTCTGCACTAACTTCAACACTCTGTCATCTTCTTGCTGAAGACAAAAAGGGAAGAAAAAGAGAGAAAGGAATTTTTAGAGCCCCTGATGTCAGCTGCTGTTATCACTGTGTGTGCCCTCTGCTTAACGGGGTAACTTGTCTCCTCCTCCTCCAGAAGGATCCACCTGAGGGGTCACCCCAAAGCACAAATCCCTGCTCCTGTCAGAACACACATGCCCTGATTCCCAGCTGAGTTTGCTCCCAGTGATCCTCCCTCCCCCTGCAATCTTGTGGAATAAGCATAATTGAGGTGGAATGAGAAGCAGGGGGAGCTAAGCCAGAGCCTCCCTCCCCCAGCACACGTTTCACACACACAGAGCAAACTCCAACGTCAGCAAACTCCAGGGATGCAGGGAGAGCCTGGGATAACTCCACAGGGATTTGCAGCAGATTCCTGCAGGGAGCTGTGCCTCCCTCCCCTCAGAACCAGAGCTGTCAGCACACAGAGCAAGCCCTGCCCTGGATCAGTGGATGCCCTAAAGCTGACCCTAAAGCACAGCCCAGGGCAGAGCTGCAGCTCCGAGGTGACCCCAAAGGTTGGATTTACCTGCTCAGCTTCCACGTAAATGAGTGGGAATCCCATTTGTTTGGTCCACGTGTTCATCACAGCAGCAATGGGTTTGCCACTGGCTTTTTCCAGGCTTTCCCAGAGATCCTCTGCAGGAGAAAAGTCTGGCTCAGCACTCCCAGAGTCTGAGTGTGTCCAGATATATTTATAAGGACATGATAGGGGAGGGTGGGCTCTTACTCCAGTTTGTCTTTATGCTTTGGGTTGTGTTTTTATTGAATTGTAACAGAGGAGAGGTAAGAAAAAGGAAATAGTTTAAACCACTCATGGGGGAGAGGGGAAGAACAGCTTCTTTACTACTAAAAAATAAAGCAATTTCACACATCGTGAAAAAATACCTTAAAAATAACATTAAATATTCAAATAGTGCCATCTTTCCCTTTAGTTTTTTTACATATTATGTCAAAATTGCTGAGCAAACACCACGGGCTGCCAGAGCTTGATGTTCCACGTGCACATTTCTGCCTGATCCACAAAAAGGTTTAAGCAAAGAACGTGCTGGGGGAACGTTGGACGAGACTTTGACCTGTTTAATCACACACACGATCAATAACTGCAAAAGGGAGCTTGCAAAAGGCTCACTTGGCAAAGCAAAGGCTCTGCTTCTAAATTCCATGACTGTGCAAATGTGGCAAAGGGTAAATCAGCCCTTTCACATCACCTCAGCCACTCGTTCCCCGGGCAGAAAATCCCTAAGGGTGCTCAGTCCTGGCTGGGCAGGGGCACGAAAGTGGAAACAAGCCAGTTGTTTCCTGGGATTTCAGCTGTCTCAGGTGGAAAACAGGCTGTTTAAGGATTCATCCCTTCAGCACTGAAGGGCTGGACTCCAGAAATCCCAATTTTTTCCCCCCAAGTGACCCCAGTTACCTGTGGCAGCGTTTTTCTGCTGGAACTTGGTCAGGTACAAATTCATGCCTTTCCGGAAATCCTGGGAACACACAGTGGGATATGTCAGGGCCCCTCCCTCCGTGCCACACTTACACCCAGGAATCAGCCAGGGACAATTACAATCAGTGCTGCAATTCCTGCTGTATTCCCCATTATCCCATTTCTCCCGGGTTAATCCCAACAGAGCCCGGATAAACTGGGAGAATTTTTCAAAACATGGAATGCACAGATTCAATTTTTTTTTTTTTTGTTAAAAAATCATTGGTTTTTAACTGCAAAAAAAAAAAGATCTGAAAAGCCCCAGGTGGCTTTTGCAGCCCAATCCCTTCACCTCATCCCCGATGTAGTCGTGCAGCATCCGGATCACGGAGGCTCCCTTGCTGTAGGAAATGGCATCAAATATTTCATCCACCTCGGAGGGATGGCCCACACTGACCTGGGGGAGACAGGAGAGACCTCCCATGAGAGGGATTTCAGCTGCCAAAACGCTGGATTTTGCCTGTTGTAGAGTTTGGGAGGTGACTTTTCTCCCAGAGAAGGCACGTGCACACCCAGCACGGGGTTGTCTCAGGGGATCTCTGCACCCAGCTAATTAAACTTACTCAGGTGTGGCTGGGTTTAGAAGATAAACACTCTTTAAGTTAGGGTTTGGTGTTAAATCTATTAGACTTGGGGTTCTTCCTTCAGTCTTTTGGTTCAACACTTGTCCCAAAGTGATAAAAGCAGTGGAAATTGTTCAACCCAGGGACAGTGAACACAACACAGGGAGTAAATCACTCTACAGTGACCTGCTGCACCAAGCAAGGTCATTTCCCAACATTTATTCCATCAAACACTTCTTGGGCCATCAGAACACTCGATCTCTGGGAATTACAAGGGAGTTTTCTCTGTGCAGCAGAGGGAAGCAGAGGGAAGCAGAGGGAAGCAGAGGAAAATAGCAGAGGGAAGCAGAGGAAAATAGCAGAGGGAAGCAGAGGGAAGCAGAGAGAAGCAGAGGGAAGCAGAGGGAAGCAGAGGGAAGCAGAGGGAAGCAGAGGGAAGCAGAGGGAAGCAGAGGGAAGCAGAGGGAAGCAGAGGGAAGCAGAGGGAAGCAGAGGGAAGCAGAGGGAAGCAGAGGGAAGCAGAGGGAAGCAGAGGGAAGCAGAGGGGAGCAGAGGGGAGCAGAGGGGAGCAGAGGGGAGCAGAGGGGAGCAGAGGGGAGCAGAGGGGAGCAGAGGGGAGCAGAGGGGCGAGGGAAGCAGAGGGAAGCAGAGGGAAGCAGAGGGAAGCAGAGGGAAGCAGAGGGAAGCAGAGGGAAGCAGAGGGAAGCAGAGGGAAGCAGAGGGAAGCAGAGGGAAATCCCCTCGGTGTAACCACAACTCCAGCTTTCCCTCTGTGGCAGGAATGACTACAAAGTTCCCTTTTTAATGAGCAGGAAGCAATCTTGCCCTGGGGCTAATAAAAACCAGGGAGACAGGCAGGAGGGGAAGCAGGACTCACTTCAATGGGGTGGCTGTTGTCTAAGGCATCGAGCTCCTGGGCCCGTGTGTAGTCGGCAGAGACAAACTGGGTCCAGATGTCGTACTCTGGGAAGCAGTGATCCACACACAGGTACTCAATCCACGAGGCAAAGCCCTCATTCAGCCACAGGTGGGTCCACCATTCCTGGGAAGGCAAAGGAAAGGCCAAAATTCCATTAAGCAGCAAAAAAATTAAGTCTGCAGGGTTAACTTAGTGCAGATCAGAGGGGCGTCGCTTGCGAGCACGAATTCACCTCTCTGAAGAATCAGCGGGGCAAGAAGAGCCACCAGCACCCAAAAACTGCCTCCCCCTTAAGTTTTAGGAACTTTACATGGAGGAGAAGTTCCCAGAGCCTGGACTAGAGGTCAGAGCAGAGCCGTGGAACAGCCTGGAGTAGGGAAAACCCAGCGCCAGGCGAAGCTGCAGGTCCGGGAGGCAGCAAAGCTGCGGGGACACAACGGGGTCTTTCTTCCCCAAATTGTGGGACAAAGAGTTGGTTTGGGGTTTGTTGTCCTGGTTTTTTTATCTTACATTAAGGAGAAAAACCTGGAATCTTGAGAAATATTCTAAATTATGGAAACCTGAAGCCTGGTGAGCAGTTCAAAAGTTGTTCCTCACCAGCCAAAAGCGGGATTTGTTTTTTTTAAAGGTAAGAATGTGACAGTGACATTTTAAAATTCTGCCTTTCACTTGAATATTACTATTTAATATTAGTATTTAATATTTAAATGAAGTAGAAAAGGTAAGGAAAAAGGCTAAGGATACTGAGGAAGGAAAGACCCTTTTCCATGCTTTAACCACCCATTTTAGATGCAAAAGGGGTGGGTAACTCAGAGTGCCACTGGTGCCTCAGCACAAGGAGCTGGACAGGATCCAGTCCCAAAAACCTCCTGCTTCTCCTCTGAATGAACCACTGCCCCCTGGGAGGGTGGAATTTCCACAGGGAAAGCTGTGACAAACTCCACTGCTTTATTTTTGGAGTGAAGACCACCCAATTTTCTTTTACATCTCTGGTGCACCTGTTTCCCAGACAAGGCTCCAGCACACCCAGGAATTCTTCACACACCTGGAGTTCTTCTTATTTATCAGAAAAACTGTGCTGGCCAGAAGTGGCAAAGCAAAGCAGAGATGCTACTGAGGTCTTCTGCTCCATTCCCCTCATCAGAGAGGAGGGAAAGCTGATTTTCTTGGAATTATCTAACACTGGAATGCCTTTTCCTATTGCAGAGCTGCATCACAGAAGATAATAACCAACAAGAAAAAGCTCTTAAAGGAAATTTTGGGAAGAGCTAGAGCTTCAAAAGGAAAGGAAAAAGCTGATTTAATGTATATTTTAGAAGGTTTTGTGAACTTTCTCAGCCCTTTTTGTCCCCAGTTCTCAACAGGTTTGTGGTCACTAATGGAGTGTGAGCATTTCCTGGCATCCCACAGGCTGTCACAGGATGCTGGCTCTCCCTGCTTCCAGCTGTTCAACTCCACTGACAGCTAAAAATACACCACTTCACTACTGCTTTTCCCTGCAAACACTGTGCTGCTCTCACATGGAAGCTGCCACAGACAGGAATGGCCAGAGCTGCCTCCATGGCCCCGGAGAAAAGTCTCCCAAACTCTGCTTTTTGGTTTAATTTATATTAAAATTAATACTAAAATTCATATTTACGCTGGGTTTGTTTCCCCCTCCATTCACTTACAGTTTAAAGAGTGAAGATTTAGGGCTCCAAACCATTTTTTTTTTTCACCAAACACTAATTTCTTACTAAAAAAAAGAACTTCAGAACCTGTGAAATATTTGGATTCCAGCAGGGATTGGAACAGGAACGTCAAATCCAATTCCCAGAGGGAGCTGGAGCCATTTGTTCCCAGCAGAAGCTCTGACAGGTCCAGGGTTGGTTTGAGCACTAAATGGAATTTCTTTACAGATTTTCACTCTTGCTGCCTCCCAAGTGGTTTCATTCCCACTAAAATGAGTTAAATTCCAAACCATTTGGGCACTGGCCCCACGTTTATCCTGAAGATTTCACAGGAGCTACAGGCCTGGAAGGATTTGGAATGAGCTGGGACTGCTTGGGATAAAGCCTGACAGGTGGATCATTCCCAGCTGAAAGGAAAACACTGGAATATTGCTAAATTCTAACAAGGGCCACAGCCAAACAACTCCAGATTAATTCACCTGGAAAAGATCTAGGAATGTAAAGAATAAAGTGGGAATAAAGCACGGCTTAAATATGACATTTATTAATTTAAAGACGCCCAGCTGCTGCTTGGGGGCACTCCAATGCATTTGGGCATGGAGGATTTGTAGCTGTTACACAGGATTTGTAGCTGTTACATACCATGGTCACAAGGTTTCCAAACCACTGATGAGCCAGTTCATGTCCCACAACCAGAGCAACCCACTGGCGAGATGAAGAACAGGAGTTTTTGGGGTCAATGAGCAGAGCTGTCTCCCTGTGGTGGAGAGAGAGGGAGAACTGAGCAAGGGGGTGGATGAGCCCAGGGGGAAAAAACACAGTCAAAAGCAGGTTAAATCACCTAAATAAGCTAAAAAGTGATCAGCACGACTGAAAAAATAAAATTTAAAAAAAACCCAAACCCAAAAGCTACTTCAGCGTAGACATTTGGGCAGTTCCACAGCTTTTGGAATGCTTTGGAGCAGGAATTCCTTATGGCATGCAAGAAGACAAGTGGAAAAAGGCAGGCAGGAGTAAAAGTTCATCCTTTATTTATCAGCCAGCTCGCCTACATAACCTAAGAACCTCAGCTGGAGGAGGGATGCACAGCACGTCTGCCCTGCCTCCCTCATTCCCAAAGGAATTCTGCCTCTTCCAAGGTGTCTTACACAAGTTTCTCCACTTGTGCTCCCTGAGCCAGGCACAAACCTTCCCCTAGCCCCCAGCAGGGCTTTGGGGGTCTCTTAAAAACCCCTGGAATGCTGTAATTCCAGGGAAAGCACCTCAGCTGGTGCCTCCCAAAGGGATGGAGCCAACCCAAACTCGGCATAAGGGGGGAAAATGAACAGCACCGTTAAGCTTCCAAAAAATTCCCCTCATCCAGGATAAACACACGTATTTTTCTTTTCCACAGGGAGCAAAATATCAGATTTCATCAGAATTGCAGTGAGAAGACAAACAGATTTGAAACCTGGGCTCGAATTTCTGGGTCGATTTTTTTTTGAGGCCAAATTAAAAGCTCGAGCAGGAGGAATTGAAACTATTTCAGGATTTCGGGTCCGGAGCTTACAGGTTGTTTCAAAATGCAGGGAAATCGTTGGGACAACGAGCACGGACAATGGAATAATGTCAAGCCAAGAGTACTTGATCAGAAGGAGGGGGAAAAAAAAAAAAATCGAACTGAAAAGAAAGGCAAGTTAATGTTTTTGATTTGCTCATCTCCACACGGTTACTCTGTGGGTGTTACATTTACCAACTTGCCCACGAGGTAAAAGGAGAAACTCTTCCAGCTGTGTCAGGGAGTTTTACAGGGGAAAAAAAAGGGGGCCAGGAAAGTTTTCCTGCAGAACAGGCAGTGCTGCCAGACACTTGCAAACCTCACACCCTTGGACAGCACCTGCAAGAGCTGATGTTTTGCCTTCCTAAGCTGTTCAACGCCACCAAAATGATCCAAACCGAAGCAAGAATTGAAGGTATTTACTCTGTCTCATTTGGGATGACACCCAGTAATTACAGCTCCCTAAAGCTAATCCAATTATTCCAAGAATTAGTGAACAAAGAGGGGGAAAGACAGTATTTTAACAGCATACCTATAAGTAACAAGGCCCCAGTTCTCCATGGCACCTTTATAAAATAAATACAAAGGTTTATTGATATTGATACACACACCTCTTCCTAAACGTTTCAAATTCAAATTAAATACAGTTCATCAATAAAGTGAGTTACTTTACCAGCAGCAAAGTCTGCAATAGCTATGAGATCAATTTTAGGAAGAGGGTAAGGAACATTGAAGTAGTCCTTATAAAAAGGCAGAGTTTTAGCAGCAACCTGTAAGAAATAAGAGGAGAAATGTCCTGTTAACTTGGAACTGGGGAAAACTTGAGAATTCATGATTGAAACTAAGAAAGCAGCACAAAGATTTCTTCCAGCAGCCCCACTCCCAGAGCACAATGGTTTGGAAGACTCCCCATCCCTGTTTTCTCCCAGGCTGTCGCCACCCTCCAGGACTTCTCATCATCTTCGGGCCCAAGTCGAGATCAGAGAACCAGAACTTCCCCAGAAATCAGCACTTCCCCAGAAATCAGCAAATCAGAACTTCAGCAGAAATCAGAATTTCATCAGAATTTCATCAGAACTTCAAATCAGAACTTTAATCAGAGAATCAGCAAATCAGAACTGACTCAGCTGAGTTAAACCACCTGTTTTGGTCGTTGCTTTAGTGCACAACTGAAATTCTCTTTAACGAGCTCAGTCTTTCTGAGCCACCAAAGCAAATCAGAACCGAGTTAAAACCTCATGTTTTGGTCATTACAGACGTTGGTTTGACCACAGCTGAACTTCTCTTTAATATCAAACTCAAGTTTTTTTGAGACATTAAAGCAAATCAGAACTGAGTCAAAACCCCATGTTTTGGTCATTACAGATATTGGTCCATAACTGAAATTCTGTTTGATATCAAACTCAAGCTCTTAATCACTCTTAATCAACCAGCAGGTGGCTTGACATATGCCAAGATTTATTACATATATTATTTATATTTATTATTTTTATATATTTTTTATATATTTAACACATATTATATATTCTTACCACTATTTATTATACATACATTTTTTAAACCACCAGGTTTGTCCAACCTGTTCAGGTTTTGTGCACATTAAAGCAAATCGGATCTGAGTCAAACCCCATGTTTTGGTCACTGCAGACATTGGTCCAAAACTGAAATTCTGTTTGATATCAAACTCTTTAAGCCATTAAAGTAAATCAGAACTGAGTCAAACCCCATGTTTTGGTCACTGCAGACATTGGTCCAAAACTGAAATTGTTTGATATCAAACTCAAGCTCTTCAGGCCATTAAAGTAAATCAGAACTGAGCCAAACCCCGTGTTTCGGTCACTGCAGATATTGGTCCACAACTGAAATTCTGTTTGATATCAAACTCTTTAAGCCATTAAAGCAAATCAGAACTGAGTCAAACCCCGTGTTTTGGTCACTGCAGACACTGGTTTGCCCACAGCTGAAATTCTGGTTAATATGGAGCTCAGCCTCCTCGAGCCACTAAAAACACCCCTAAACCCCACGGATTTGGGCGACAGAGCAGAGTGACCAGAGCAGAGGCGTGTCCAGGGATCCCTCCTGGACCCTAGGCCCCTCTGAGCTCATTTACCTCCAAGGCAAACTTTCCTTGCTCCGCTTTGCCCACGGGGGTGTAGACCCGGACCAGGACCCCGTCCTGGGATCGCGCCTCCACGAAGTCGTACTCGCCCACCACGAAGGCCACCAGGTACGTGGACATCACCGGGGTCCTGGCGAACTTCACCTCCACCAGGTTCTCGTCGTCCGGGTAGGGCTTCCTGTCCACCACGTTCTGGGGGGACAGAGGGACAGAGGGACAGAGGGACAGAGGGACAGAGGGACAGAGGGACAGAGGGACAGAGGGACAGAGCCGTCAAGTCTTTTTTGGGGAAGCGAAACCGGGATTACACAACGTTGTTCCATCCTCATGAGTCACACAGGGAAAATGGAAGGGGGTTAGGGTTTAAAGTCCAGGCCACGGCGTGGTTCTGCAGTTGTTAAAATGCCCTGTCCAACCTGGAGATATTGTATATTGTAAAAACATACAAGATTTCAGAGAATCGGAGAATCACAGAGTCAGCTGGGTTGGAAGGGACCTCTGAGATCATCGAGTCCAACTCTTGATCCAACCCCGCCGTGGTTCCCAGCCCATGGCACTGATGCCACATCCAGTCTCAGCTTAAAAACCTCCAGGGACAGAGAATCCCCCACTTCCCTGGGCAGCCCATTCCAATGGCTGAGCACCCTCTCTGCAAAGAAATTCTTCCTAATCTCCAACCTAACCCTCCCCTGGCACAGCTGCAGACCCAGCCCTCTTGTCTTGCTGATGGTTGCCTGGGAAAAGAGACCAACCCCCCCCGGCTCCCCCCTCCTGTCAGGGAGTTGCAGAGAGTGAGGAGGTCTCCCCTGAGCCTCCTCTTCTCCAGGCTGAGCCCCCCCAGCTCCCTCAGCCTCTCCTCACAGCACTTGTGCTCCAGTCCCTTCCCCAGCCTCGTTTCTCTCCTCTGGACCTGCTCCAGCCCCTCCATGTCCTTCCTGAGCTGAGGGCCCAGAGCTGGACACAGCACTCCAGGGGTGGCCTCCCCAGCGCTGAGTCCAGAGGAAGAATCACTTCCCTGGCCCTGTTGGCCACCCTGTTCCTGAGCCAGGCCAGGATCCATTGGCCTTCTTGGCCACCTGGGCACACTCTGGCTCCTGTTCAGCTTCTTGTCAAGTTATAAGTTATATTCCATTATTTCCAAAGCATCTGTCCTTCAAAACCAGCACTGCTCCCATCCTAGGAAGGCTCCAGCTTTTGCTTGAAACACAAACCTTCCTTTGAAACAGAAACTTTCACTTGAAACAGAAACCACGTGGTCAAGGCCAGGCCAGACTTTACAGGTAACTCTCAATGTTAGGAATAAAAAAAAAAAAAAAAAAGTCTATTTTTAAACTGACTCTTCTCCAGCAACATCATCTAAAAATATGTGCAGGCAGCAAACTAAAAATGCCCATTTTGTGACAGAGGTACTTCTGCTTCCACATTTCATCCCAGTTCTGGACAGAAATTCTCCAGAGCAGGAAACTCTCTGATTTATCTCAAGTGCTTCTGGGTAACACATAAAGGACTTTTCCCCAGCCACTCTTAATCAACCAGCACGTGGCTTGACATATGCCAAGATTTATTATTTATTACATATATATTATTTATATGTATTATTTTTATATATTTTAATATATTTTTATATATTTTACACATATTATATATACTTACCACTATTTATTATATATATATTTTTTTAAACCACCAGGTTTGTCCAACCTGTTCAGGTTTTGTGCCCCTGACATCAAATACCACCTTGTTTCAAAGCTCTCTGCATTTATTGCTCCTTAGCAATAGCAAGGCAGCCTGTATTCCTAATTCTGTTACCAAGACACATTATTAATTATCAATTAAGCAGCTGGTGTTATCACAGCTTTATTTAAAACACTGTTTATTTGCACATCAAGGACTCACCATATTTGACAAAGCTACTCTGTCCTTAGGAACCACCAAAGAAATATCAAATGTTGCCTTAATAGCAGGTTCATCCCAGCAAGGGAAAGCTCTGCGAGCATCAGTAGCCTGAAAAAAGAGCATTAAATAAATAAATCACAGGAGATTGTGGCAGCAAAACACACAAATTCAGCTTATTTTGGGGCAAGAAGTGGGTGAATCACAGACACTCTTGACCTCTGCATCAGAGCATTTTATTCTTATTTCACCCTCGGCTTGAAAAAATAGAAGCAGCTGAAAAGGCCTCTGTGCTCTGCTGGAATTGTACAGTCTGAGGAAAATTTAGCAGAGTCATGAGAGGAGCAAAGCTCAGTCATGTGAAAGCACAGAGGGCACCCAGGCGTTCACAGGCCCTGCACACACGACCACCTATTTATATTCCATCAGCCCGCTCCCAAAAAACGCTCTGCCCCCGGCAGGGAAGCGCTGCCTGCTTTATGTAAGCAGGAGGAGCACCCTGGAATTGCAATCTGGACTCAAATCCTGCCATTTTGGTGGGGTTTACATAACAGGGACGGGCCGTGGCTCACGTTTGGGATGTCGGGGAGATAAAACACAGCGGCCCCGTTAAAGGAAGATTCGAGTGCTTCACAAAAGGAGGTTTCCCAGAGGTATCTGAGCGTGTCTAAATCATGAGATGCTCCTGAACACTGCAGCTCCTGCATGCCTAGGATGCATCCCACAGCAGCACCAGCCCTGCCTGGGGAATTGGCACAGCCCCAATTTCCTGCCCCGGAGGCCGCAGCGTAAAGGCTGTTTAAATTTGAGTAAGAAATAATGAAATTCACCCAGAGGGGAGAGATAAAGGCAGGAAAACTGTGCCTTTGCCTCTCCCAAGCCTAAATCCCCCCTGAAAGCAGCAGTGCAGCCCGTACCTCGAACTGAGTGACAGCAGCGTAGCGGGTGTCTCCGGTGGGGGTGGTGTATTTACTCCGGTAAAACCCTTTCATTTTATCATTCAGCTCCCCTACAAAGTCTATCTTTAGTGTCCCTGTCCCTGCAACACAAACAGAGGGGGGTGTTGTCACTGGATTGTGCCAAACAGAGCATGGATTCGGTCTGGACCACCAGGCCCCTTCGGCTCCTCTCCGTCCCTCCCGTGCCAGCCCCCCACAAACCCTCCACTCTCCCCAGACAAACTCCAGAAGAGCAAAGCCAGGCTCCCCACAGATTTTTAGGATTGCTACCAGAGGCTGCTGCAGGGCTCAGTCTCACCTTCTAAGCACAAAGCACAACCAGGAGAGACCAACCTTAAGCCATTCCCAAAGTCTGATCCTCTAATCCTCACTTTAAAGTTGGCACAAATATAGGATATAAGCAATAATGGCATCCTGTGGAATCCACTACAAAGCCAAGATGGAGCTGTGGCAGTGCTCAAGCTCATAAGTCAATTAGTCTCAGGATTTATTCTGCCCTTGATGTCTCAGTGCAAAAGGGGAAACCTGAGCCTGCCCAGAGCAGCAGCCAAGATCCCATAGAACCAAACATTCCTGCTTGATCATCCCAGAATTTCCTATTTGTACTTATCCAGATGAAATAAAACTGCTTTATTTAAACTGAGGAGCTGTTTCAACCCACGGGCTCCTCAGAGCAAGAAACTGCAGCAGCTCCAGAAGAACCCAAACATCGAAGGTGAGGAAAATCCTGCAGTAATTCCAATGAGCTCAGGAGGGAACAGCTCAAGAGGAATAACAGGAACAGCTCCTGCCTCCCAAGAGCAGGGAAACAATCAGAGCCACCTCAGGTGCTGGCAGGAAATACCAGCCTTAGTGAAACAACATTTCCAGCTCCAGAGGCTCCCCAAGTGACCCGCGGTGGGCAGATCCACAGGGAGCACCACACCCACACTGGGGAGCTTCAGGGAAGGCAGAGCTGTCCCACTCCAGCTTTTCCAAGTGCAAAGCCCTCAAACCCAGGGCTGGAGGCAGCAGGAAGCAGGGGAATAGCTCCTACCTTTCTGCAGGGTACTGGGAAAGGAGAGAGTAACCTTTTCATCCTCGTTTTGGTAGTTGAACCCCGTGGCGTGAACCTCTGGAACAGAAAACATTTCCTTGGTCAGAGGCAGCCCCAGAGAGGGGTTTGTACTCAGGAAGGTTTAGATTAGAATAATAAAACATTTAAAATTCACTGAATCAGCTGAACCCAACATGCTGCAGTTCCCGAGCAGATCAATGGAGATTCTGAATAATCCATAATTCAATGTGAGGAAGCAAAGGAACACCCTCATGCTCAGAATTCCATGGCAGGGAAAGCTTCTGCCGAGCCCAGGAATGAAAGGTGAGCTGATAAATGATAAACCTGCAGCAAGAACAGTATCTGGACACCAGGAATGCTGGGAACAGCTGCCACAATCCTGACAAATGGTGAAATATTGCACCAAAATTCCCCTCAATATTAAACACTTCCATCAGTGCAGCAGGACTCTTAATAATTATCCCAAACAAGATGCTTAGGATTTATTTACCCAATCTGTGTCTCTCACTTGGAAAAGCACATTAATCTCTATAGCAGGGCAGGAGGGGGGGGTTTGCTTGCATTTAACCACAAAATAAAACACAATGTTGGTTTTATTTAAAAAGTGACTTCAGAAGCAGAGTCCACCTTTGGAGTTCCTGTCCTGCTCAGCAAAGGGATCCCAAATCCACCCCAAAATGAAGCAGTTTGGTATTTACACAGCACTGGAACTATTTGTGGATGCAAACATCCAAACTATGAGGCCAAGCTGGAGAGACAGGGGGAGGGAACCTCCCCAGAATTAAAGTGTCCTGAAGCTCCACAGAGCCAGGGGAGAGCACCTGGTGTTTCCTCCTTCCTAACTCAGGTCCCACTCGCTGCCTCCAACATGATGTGGATCTGTATGATCCTTCAGCCAAAAAAACCTGGAATAGCTATGCAGGACCTCACTTTGCAAGTTCTGCTCCCTGTGTCGTTCAACCACTGCAAAAACCCTTGAGAAATTATCTTTAAGAACCTTAAATGTGCTCCAAAGCAGCTGAGAAATGGTTTCTGCAGCAGCATCTTCCACTGCTAAACTCGGACACAACAACAGGCTTTTCATCCTAAAAGGAAAACTTGCCACTCAACCGACTTCTTGAATGACAAAGCTGGTTTGCAACAGCAATTTCAGTCACAAAAGGACTTGTTTTCCACACTCAGGTATCACTCCAAGCACCCCGGTGTTGGGTTTCAGCCTCAGCACACTCCAGGATGTTCAGCTGAGCTGTTCCACAAGTGACAAAGGGAACTGGAAACGTGCTTTTATTGTTCTAAAATTTCAAGTGCTGTTTATTCTGGAATAGTGTGATTTCAGCCTTAAACCCCTGCTCCCAGAGCACATAAATGCAGGAGCTGCATGAATAAATTAGTTTTAAGTACAGGTTTCACTGAGCTCTGCTCAGGGTTTAATCTGAGTTAACCACCGTGCTGGGGTGCAGGACACAGACAAGGCTCAAATAACACAGAAATAGCTGCAAAAAATACAGAGTAGAAACAAATGCAGGGGGAAAAAATCCTCCACAGGATCAAGCAGAAGAACTTTAGACTCCTGATCCGCGCTGGGGAGTTCCAAGATTTTGAAAATCAACTTTAAGAGGGATGAGATGGAGCATTTAAAGCAGAATCCATGCCAAGGGCACCCAACTGCCAGCAAACAGTGGGAAAAGAGCACCAAAAAATAAGGGTTTGGCTTTTCTTCCTGTAACTCTGGGGGTACTGAGGCAGAAAGGAAGATTTTCAGGAGAACAGTCCTTATGTGCAAGGTGTTAATCTGAAGTGGGCTTCCAGCAGCAGAGAGGAGCTGGTTGCTGACTCCATCCTTCAGATCCCAGGAATTTTGACCCCGAGTCCACCAGACAACAAACCTGTTGTTCTGCAGCAGCATGTGGGTGCCCTGGGTCAGAGGGAAGGACTGGCTGGATTCCTGCTGGGAAGTTGGGAGCCTGGAGGGCTCCTGCTGCTGCTGGACGAGCTGCAGGTTGTGGTCAGAGGGTGAGTGAACACCTGAGAGAGGCTGGATAAGGATCAGCTCAGGAATGCAGCAACACTTCCCCCCCAGTGGATTTTTAAAAGGACCACAGCAAACCATAAACATTTTTATCTTTTTTTACAACGATCTGATAGCGGAGACAAACCCCAGCAGGATTTCAGGAGCAGAGCTCCAACCTCCCAAACCCCAGCAGGATTTCAGGAGCAGAGCTCCAACCTCCCAAACCCCAGCAGGATTTCAGGAGCAGAGCTCCAACCTCCCAAACCCCAGCAGGATTTCAGGAGCAGAGCTCCAACCTCCCAAACCCCAGCAGGATTGCAGGAGCAGAGCTCCAACCTCCCGAAACTGAGGAGTGCAGAGGAATGTGTGTTATGTGCAGCTTCTGCCAAAGGTTGACAATGGATATCAAGTTTCCCCCTCCTCCTCTCCCAAATCTGAAGTGCTCTTAAGTGTGTTTGAATTTGCAGCTCTGCTACTTTGTGAGCTTTTTAACCTGTACCAGGAAAGACAGAGCTGAACATCACCAGGGTTAGGAGGTGAAGGCCTTCAGGGTTTTCTTACTCAAAGCAGCTCCTCACACATCAAATTCCAAAGCAACAGAACATAAATGAAAGATTCAAAGCTACATTTTTTTTGTGTTGTTTAAACTGACTACTCAGTGCCAGTAATTTAATCCAGAGCAAAAGACCCATGGAAAACCATCAACAATACTTTTTGTTCGAGTTTAAGAGGACTGCTTCTAACAAAGATGTGATTGCAGCAAAGGGCTGTGTGAATTCCTACCAGTGGAATACAAAAGCTCCTGAAGAGAACAGCCCAGTTTTGGCAGCCTGCAAACTTTGGAGAGTTTGGCACTGCAAGGTTGCAAGTTAATCACTAGCACATTAGTACACAGTCTGGGCTGAGCTGCATGAGAAAAATCAAAAGCTGCTGCTCCGTGGGTTTTTTTGGGGGGAAAATAGAAAAAAAAAAAAAAAAAAGCCTAAAAAATTGCATCCCAGGACTTGGAGCACTGCACTTCAAATTCTACAACAGCTTTTGCAATAAATCCCAGGCCTGCCACAGAGCACTTCCTGCAACTGCACAGTGACCAGAGGGAGCCATGGATTAATGATCCCAGTTCCTGGGCTCCATCACTTCCAATCGTGGCTCCCAGCCAAGGGCTTTAAGCAAAGGCAAATCTGGACTCGAAGCCAAGAGGAAAGATGGAATTTTTTCAAGTGGCCCTCGATCCATGGCATGGAGAAGTCACAGGCAATTAAGGTATGGTGGCTTAATGACCTTGCATTCCCAGGGGAGCTGCAGGGGCTGGGAGCACTCTGGCTTCTCTACTGCAAATTAAACTGTTTGCTTAAACCCTCCCTGTGCTGACCCAGCACTCCCTGTCCCCCAATTCCCAGGAACTCTAATGCTTCCAAGCCCTTTCCATGAGATCCAACCTGTAAAATCCTAAAACATATTCTCATGCATCAGATATTCCCAACTGGTCCAGGCCAAGGCAGCCCAGCTCTCCCTAAAAACCTGCATTAAACCCCTGCCACATCGAGTCCTCTCCAGAGAAAAAAGGATGAAGGTGAAGTTTCCTACAACAAACAAACATTCACCACTGGTTTAAACAACTCCAGACTGTCACAGGCAGCAACAGCAGTCGGCTTTGCCACCTGGCCCCAGGTGGGAATTCATGTTCCCATTCCCTTCCTTCCACTGGAATTCCCACACAACCACCAGGAGCAGGAAGGTGCCTTTTTTTTGTTCCCCTTGTGGAGGCAGTTTCCTGATGCACTTGGCTGCTCAGCAGGGCCAGCAGGAGTGCCAGGAGAAGGGAGGGAGGGAGGACAGGCACTCAGCTCTCCACGAGTACTACTGACTTCTGGGGAGGGTTTTTTTGGGGTTGTCTCTTTTTTCAAACACCACCTGAGGCTCTGGTGTAACCAGCATCCCACAGTGGGAAGGGAAAGGCCAAAAGAATGAGTTCTGGCCCTAAAGCCTCTTAAAGGTTGAAGTACAACCCAAAGTTGTACTTTGGGTTATTATTCCTGCTGAACAAACATCGCTCCTGCTGCCTGGGATTTCCTATGTGGAGCTGCCAACTGCTGCCCTCCAAGCACCTCTAAAATTGAAAAGCTGCTTTAGATCCCCCCCAGAACCCGAGGAGATTCCAAGCCAAAGACAACCTAATTCACTCCCTCCATCACAACTTCACAGCTGCCTGGAGGAGACATTCACAGGAAGCTCAAACTCCTTCGCATTCAGCGAGTCTGAAACTCAATCCCTTCAAACTCCACTTGCTTGGGAATGTCTTTGCAGCTCCTTATTCAGCTGAGCCAAGGCAACCATCTGGACACAGGCAGTGCAGCACGTGCACACCTAAAAGCCAAAGATGCAGCAGAAATGCTAAAAAACAGCTTCTGGGGGGAAAAAAAAAAAACAAACCACCCAACCCAATCCCAATGACTCCTTATAATCAGTGGGAGGAGCAGCTCCAGCAACGGAAAACTCGGGTGTTTGGAGCAGCTTTGTTCCATTACAGAATTCCTGGCACACACAGAGCAAATCCACAACCCCCACTTGACAAATCCCTGCACCAGTTTGATGATGAAACAGGATTTTTCTGCTCCCAAGTCCTGAGTAATCAATCCCCCCCCCGTCTGTTCCTCGCTGGATGGGGGATTACACAGCAAAATTCTTTACTTTGACTTTAAAGCTGCAGATCCTCCCTCAGCTTCCCGACAAATGTTGGGCAATAATCTGATTTCCCTGCAAATCTGCATTAAAATTCCAAAGGCCAAGTCCTACCCTCTGCTGTATCCACCTCTAGAAGGTGAAGAGGGGGACAAGGAGCCCGCTCAGGATTAGAAAGAATTATTAGGAAAATAAATAACTATTCTGCACAAAAATCAACAGAACACCTCCTGAAACAAAGGACAGGGATCTTTTCCCCACACCTACTTTTTGGGACAGAATCACACTTGAAAGGAGATGAGTGACTGATTATCTTTTACCTTTTCTCAAACTGCAGCCAAGAGTGAGACAAATTCTCCCCCACTGAGACACAGAACCAAGAGGTAACAATTCTCCACTAGGGAAGAACTTTAAAGGAGATTTAAAGAGCTTTAAAGGAGGAAACACCCCTAACTTCTCACCCCTTTTCACACACACTCTCCAGGCAGCTGGTAGCAGGCTCACCTAAGGAATTAAATCCCAACCAAGTGGCTGATATTTCTGTGGCTTCCCTGGACCACATTTCATCCCGAGTTTTTGAGAGCAGTTATACAATTACCATCCCAAAGCTGGGCACAATAGGAGCATTACTGAGAGTGACTCGAGCTGTATCAACAGGTGCCAGCAAACACCCTGCCAATTCCATGCAATTTTCCTTCCAAAGCCATTACACTGCTTGGCACCTTCCCAACCCCAGAGATATGTTTTAACCCCCTGAAGCCTGGGGATAATTACAGTGAACGTGCAGCAGAGCCACACCTGGAGCATTTATGACAGCACAGCTTGTGAGGGCCTGAGTGTCCAGAGAGCCACACTCAGGGCTATCCAAAAAACCAGAAGGAAGGAATTTAAGCCAGAGAAACTCAATTCCAGCACCCTTTGGTTTAAGCCTCTGTTAAGCTCAACTATTAATACTTTCAAGTTACAAAAGATCTTCTCTGTTTTACGTATTTTTTTCTGATTTGGCTGGCAAGAGATTTTAATTCCCAGGTACTTTTCCCTTCTATTCTCATTTTCTCAATGGTAAAATAAGCCATTCCCAGGGGGTTGGGCCTGTGGCAGGGAACAGACTCCAGGTGCACTCTGCTCTTACTACCCCTCGTTATCTCCTCTTTCCTCAGGATCAGGAATAGCTCCAGCAGTGCTTGGCAACACCCTGCTCCCAGCCAGCTCCCTGGGGAAGGCTGGGATCGTTGGAGTGCCAGGGTACAACCCAGAGCACGTAGGGCACAGCTCTCCATTCTCTCCCTGCAGGGATGGGGTGGCCCAGCTCCAGGCCCCTCAGTCCTTCCCTTCCCTCTGGCTGTGCCGGCGCTTCCTGAGCTGAGCTCGGCTTTTCCAAACACACCCTCCCAAAGCTGCTTCCTCGGGACACTTCCTCACCTCTGCTGCACCCAAACAGCCCTCTGCTTGCTCTAATATTATAGTAAAAGTAACAGAAGTCAAACCCATTTAAATGCAAAGACTTGTTGCAGACAGTCCCCTCGGAACCCCGGGATGGTTTGGTTTGGAAGGGACCTTAAAAGCCACGGGCAGGGACTCCTTCCAAAGAGCTGCTGGGCTTGAAAAAGCAAATGCTCCAGTAAAAAAAACCAGGAAGGCTTTGATCACTGTTAGACCATTCATGGAGCTTATTTTGCACACCTCCTTCATTTTGTGCTTCAGCTGCTAAAACCCTTTTTGTGTTTGCAAATCTCCTCAAAATACAGCTGGGGAAGTCAATGACTCCAGCTGAGTGTTACCAACAGGCTCTGCTGCTCCCATTTCCCCAGGAACTTCCAGCCTCCCACTGGGCTGGATCCCAATCCTTGTCTCCTCCACACAACCACCCTTTTCCCTGTTGCCCTACGCTCAGAACATCCTGCTAAGTGACAACTAAGTGTCTTCTGTACTTCCCAAATCCTTCCCCGTGGGTATTTCCTTCTGCAGGCTGTTATCAATACATCCCTTATCTAATCCCTGTCACGGATTTTGTCAATATTCCCAAATCCACAGGTACAGATCACGTTCAAAGCAGTGTCAGATCACAGTGTCAAACCAGCCCAACATCCTTTGCCTCCAACCCTCGGGCACAGTGGAGCAGAACAAATACCTCTGGCTTGTTCCCAGTTATGTTTGTTCAATAAACACTATTAAAGGTTTATACTTTTTGACAAATATAACTATCAGTGCACCTTCCCAGCTCCTGCAGTGGTGTCCCATCAAGATTTCATGCAGGCTTGAGGGAACTTCTTTAACATAATTGCAAATGGCAGTGAGGAAGTGAGATAAGGAATTCCGAGCTTATCAAATGTTATGTAATTGTGGAATCAAGGCTCCCAGAACGCCGGGGATGGAAAGGATCCCCATCCCTACCTTCGTCCCCTTCCGGCGCGTAGGAAGCCGTGATGATGTCGATGTCGGCGCAGTTCATCACGATTTGGTTGGTTGCATTTTTCACCTGGAAGAGAGATTCCGTGAGCACCAGGAGGAAAAGCTCCCTGAGGTAGGCATTCCCACCTCCCATCCATCCCAGAAGCCCTCCCCCGAGCGTCTGAGGTGGGATTTGGTGGTCAGGAGCCGTGAAGAAGCACTTGGGACACACGCGCTCGATCCGCGCTCAGCCATCCCAGGCCTCCTTATCCCACCATAAATTACTGAAGGGAATGAACTGCCGAGTAAAAAGGGGTCTGAAAGGCTGACAATAGAGCCCTTGTACACGCCTGGCAATCCAAGAGCAATGAAAAACGGATGGAGAGCCCGTCAGCCTCCTCTGGAGATGATCTATGGGAGACCAGAGCGAAAACCTGGGGCGGGGGATGAGCAGAGACACAACCCCTGGGGGTGCTCGACACTGTGAGCACTTCCGAGGTTAAAAACATCTGCCAGGAGATTCTCCTTCCCCTTTTCCTGTGAGCTTCCCTTCTGCCAGCTCTTGGCTCCACACACTCTGCTTTATTTACCAAGCGCCAGCTCCCGGCGTAGGAATCAACTGTGGGGCTGTGCCAGCTCTCTGTTTGAATGCAGAGGAATTCCAATGAAATATAAATTAATTACAAAGGGGTAAAATATTTGGGAGTTAAAGAGGGAATTATTTAGAAATCGATGGCTGAAACCACTAGAATGGTCACGCTGGATGGAGCTGGGGATCCTGCTAGTCCTGCACACGATCTCGAGCAGGAGACAAGAGCAGTTCCTTAAATAAAGGAGTAAAAATTCCTGTAACAGCCAACTAGATTTAACATGTGCACGAAGAAGCTGCTTCCCACCCCAGAGTGAGCTCCTCAGAGCACAAGGACTTCCACCCCTTTTTTTTTCTTCACTGTTATAACCTTAAAATGCCTGTTAACACCCAGATCCATCATTCCAGGTATCCGTGTCTGAACAGGGCAGGAACCAACTGGAACTGCCTCCAGCTCTGGGGTCCCAGCACAGGAGGGACATGGAGCTGCTGGAGCAAATCCAGGGGAGGAAACATCCAGAGGGATGGAGCAGCTCTGCTGGGAGGAAAGACTGGGAAAATTGGGATTGTTCGGCCTGGTGAAGAGAAGCTCTGGGGTGACCTGATTGTGGCCTTCCAGGACCTGAAGGGAACTTAGAGGAAAGATGGAGAGACTATTTAGGAGGGTCTGGAGTGACAGGACACAGAGAATGGCTTCCCACTGCCAGAAGGCAGGGTTAGGTGGGATATTGGGAAGAAATCCTTCCCTGGGAGGGTGGAAAAGCCCTGGCACAGGTTGCTCAGAGAAGCTGTGGCTGCCCCATCCCTGGAAGGGTCTGAGGCCAGGCTGGACGGGGCTTGGAGCAACCTGATCTAGTGGAAGGTGTTCCTGCATGGAACTGGATGGTTCTAAAGGTCCCTTCCAACCCACACCACTCCAGGATTCTCCCTGCAGTGGCAGCTGGTTCCCCTGGGCCAGGAGCTGCTCCGTGTGCCCAGCCCAGCTCGCCCCGCTGGCATCTCCATGGAAACGGGTTTATGGCATGGAAAGGCACCATAAACAGCTCAGGTGTCCCAGCTGGGGCAGACACTTCTCCCTCTGCCATCAGGGCCCGGGATCTGGGCAAGGAGGAGCCGGAAGCAGAGATTCCGTGCGGAGCTGCTCCAGCCGGGAATGGTCCCTTAGTCATGTGGGACATAAAAACCAGATTCCAGCCCAGCCACTGATAAGGAGGCTTAAGAAATTTCAATGTGTAACTTAATAGGTGTGTTCCCACATCCACCTGTGAGCCAAAGGGCTCCCACCAGCTCTTCCAGGGAGATCCAAAGCCCACAGAGGGTGGGGAACACACACCAGCCTGACCGGGAGCTCCTTCCCAACCTCAGACACCAACCTTGCTCCTGAAGCAAATCCCTCTGGTTTACTCCCAACCACGGGACTGTCTGATTTCCTAAATAAAGGTTTAAAGGTGTAATTATTAGTGCATCATTCCAAGCCCTGCAGTGGTGTCACACCAAGAGGTGCAGCAGAGCCACGTTGCCTCTTTATGGAATTAAACCCAACAAACCCAACCTGGTTCTGAAAACAAAGCACAAAACGAGCAACTGCAACAGCTGAGGTGAGAGAGAGTAGATCTGATGCTTCTAGCAAAGACTTATAACCTGAAATCTTATTTTTTTTTCACCAGTTCTGTGCCCAGGAAACTGAACAACTGCAACACTCCCTCAAGAGCAAAATCAGAGCCCAACAGTTTTTATCACAATATTAGGGTTTGGGGTTTTTCAAGGTCCTCTAAAACACAATAAAATCAGAATGAGAAAAGCTTTTTATAAATGTCTAGAGACCTTTATTCAATCTATAAATCCAAATCTCTCTGGATTCGGAGTTCAAGATGCATTAAGAGCTGTCCAAATTGCAGACAATGTGGGTTTAACAATAGGCTTGATCTTTAAAAAACAGCCTCTTCCGAGGACACAACTTTCAGTGGAGCACTGTGCCTGCAAAATAAGAAAGTTTAGGTTTAAGCAGAGACAATTCAGAGGCTCCTTGGAAAGAAAAATCACCTATTTTTAGGATTTTTTTTTTTTCCTTACTTCCTACCAATATCAAGCCAGTTTTACAACCAGGAAACACCTCGAGGGACTAAAGGAACCAGGAGGCTAAAAAAAAAAAGCTTATCCTCCGCCTCCCCAAAAAAACCAAGGGTGAAATTCATGGTGCAGGCAGGAATTGTGACAGTGGGGTGGCCCAGCACCTTCTGAGGCTCCCAGAATTGAGTTCAGAGGGGAAAAGGAGCTTTCCTGTTGCCCCCCGGGCTCCAGCCTGAGCCTCCTCCCTCTGAGCCACTAAAATCCTGAAGTACAGGCACACCTGTGAGAACAAAAACAGGACCAGAACCCGCCCAACATACTTAACTTATGACCACCTGATGTCACAAGAACCTGCAGCTGAATTGCTGCAGACACCAGGGACAGCCTGGAATGAATCCATGTGTTTTGCTGGAAGTGATACCTCGGAAGTGCTTTTTTTCCCAGACAGATGTTCTGCCCCCGGAGTGATTTTCATGAATGAAATTGTATTAAAGGGGAAAAAAAAAAAAAGCATCTTTCTGCATAAGGTATAAGCAATTACCCAGGTGAATATGTGGGACTGTCACCCTGCTTCACCTTGCCCTAGAACATAATAAATGTACTCTTCAGCAAGGAGAGGTTAATCAAGGGAAGAGCAAGATCTAAATGCCCACAATGAGCAGCTCTGCCCAGGGTTGACACTTAAAACTCAGATGAACCACCAGGAAATATCTGAAATAAAGGAATATAAACCTCTGGCTTTTGATGAAACTCCAGTAAATGAATCAGAATTCAAATACTTGTTGAGCTCAGCCAGGCACAGACACCAGGGGGGAGGAAAATCCCAGCCAACAGGAGGTAACAGCTGAAGTTCCCCCCCAGAGGTTTTCCAAGGTAGCATCATTTGATGGCAGAAGAGCTAAAAATGATGATTATTTGGCTCTGCCAAACAGGACTCGAAGATTTTCATCAGAGCAGGAAAAGGGTTTGATGGAAAAACCTTCTTGGGACATCAGGAACAGGGACTTGAATGGCTCCAGTGGAATGCCAGCCTACCTGAAATACAGGATGAGGTGCATCCAAAGAGATCTCCCGGAGTCAAAACTAATTCTGCAGAGCCACAAACATGACCAGATAATTCAATTCTTGACACACAGCCCCACAGCCCTTTTCTAAAAGCAGCATTGTAACAAGCACGTGTGTTTTTAGCAATTTACTCTCTAAAAATAGACAACTAAAATTACCTCGCTTGTGTTCCGGGGTGTATCTGTTTAAGAATTTAAACCTGAGAGAAGAGATTTATTAATCTGCACCTCCAGCAAATTTCTGGGAGCCGAGGGGTAAAATTAGCAACTGATTGGCCCACTGGAAAAAATTCCCTTCATTCCAAAGAGCATCCAGCCCCTGTGTGGCTCTCACACGTGGTGCAGAGGTGTCAAATTCACACAGGCAAGTAAATCCCTTTGTACATGAGCACTGCAACCTCCCAGCCTTGGGAATTACAGGGCTGGAAGAGCCCTTCTGGGGGGGGAGAAAGGCAGGACACCCCTATTTTTGAGTTGGTGGCACAAGGAGAGCCCTGAGGTGTTGGCTTTGAAGCACCAGATTTGAACACTCAGCTCGGTACCTTTAACTCTTAAAAGCAGGTTTAATTTCACTTGCTGGAAGTGCAAATTCAGGTTTAATTTTCACTTGCTGGAAATGCAAATTCAGGTTTAATTTTCACTTGCTGGGAAATGCAAATTCAGGTTTAATTTCATGTGCCTGAAATGCAAGTTACAACACAGGATAACACAACCATGTATTATTTATCCTGGACAACTTCCCCTCTCCCCAGGAGACACTGAGCACAAATACTACACCCATCAAGCTTCATTTTTCAAGGATTACACACAAAGAGTGTCACAATTAATCTTTAACTGGCAGCCAGCAGGATCAGACTATACATTCCTTAGGCTGGCACACACTGCATAATCAACCTATAAAAAGCAACAGATACAGGTTAAACATTGCTAAATATACCCTAAGATACATGAAAGGGACTGCAAAAGATATTTAAAAGAGCTGTGTACCTCGGGTTGTAAACTCTTCACAGATAAGTTGTTTTGCAACCAAGAAACTCCTCAGAGTAGTTTCCAGTGAGAGGAATGAATCACCCCACCACACTCTCCAGGGCAAGGGAGTTTATCCACAGGGAAATACCAGGAAGTTGGGAGACAAGTGTGCACCCTTCTGGAGCTCTGCCCCCTGTGCCAGGCAGGTGATTGTTCAGAGTGTTAAGGACTCGAATTTTAAGAGATTAAAAACCTTCAGGAGGGCAGCTGTTTTCTTTCTGTTGGTGGTTACTCATGTTTGTGGTGCTGCAGAACACAAGGGCCACACATCCCCTCTTTGTTCCAGCCCTGCCAAGGAGCCAAAAGCAGAGTGGAAGAAAAAAAAAGTGGAGCTGCCCTGAGTAACCCGAGTGCCCCGCACTGATAACCAGGCCCCGATGGAACGGCTCAATCTCAGCCCAACAGATGAAGAAAGCAAATGAACTTATTTCCACCCAGAAAAATCCTAATTGTGCTCATTCAGAACCATCCCCACGCCCTCAACAAATCAAGTTCAAACGCTCCAAGATGACAGAAGTGGCAGAACAATCAGAGGAGTGTGAGCAGGCGCCTCTGTCCCAGCTCCAGAGCTGCTGCTGGGACTCTCCCACATCCACGCTGTGTCCCAGCTGGGATGAGGGATCCTTGGGAAACAGTTCATTTAAGGATTTTTGGGGGTTTTCAACAGTGATAAATGGGAATTATGTACTGTCAGTTTATGTAATTGTTACACAACTCTACAGGCTTCATATGAGCACTAATTATATTATTTAAAAATCTTGACTAACCGGACAAGATTTAATAGATGGGTCACCAGATACTTCCCAAGCACAGCTCCAAAAGGCTACAGAATTAAACTGTCAGAGAGACAGATTTCAGTCCCACTCCTTTATCCAGAAACAAGCAATACTGGACAGAAGGCCAGTTCCTGACCTGAACACCAGAAATGCCACAATAAACCACAAACAGGTATCACTCCTTTTTAAAGCCTCGAGATCAATCTGGTCTGATCTTTTGGATCATAAAAGGTTTTACCCTCTGCAGATTACCTGGAGTTGCCATAGAAGTGCAACATTTATTACTGTGGCCTAAAGACAGAATGCTTTAAGTTATTTATAGGTGCTAAAGCCACCACAAGTGTCCTGCCCCAAAGCCAAGGCTGCAACACTTGTTTAGGGCTCGAGTTGAAAGACCAAAATTCTGCACAGAGGGTTGTAAATCCTATTACTGGTGTGAGTAAGAATGATCAAGTGTTTACTTGTAATACCTTGACTAAACATCACAGCCTGCACTAATTCCACTTTGCTCTTAAAGATACAAAACAACAGAGCAAACAAATCACTTCTGATGCACGGAATGAAAAGTATTCCCCTTTTTGGGGGGGTTAATCTGGTGTCAAAGTGTCAGAACTCACCCCATGGGTCAGAAAGCATCTCTGGTTTAAGTCCTTGATGTGGATTATGGCTTGTCCAGCCATAATCAAACTGGACTGGAGCTGAGGGGCTGGTAATTATTGATTGGCTACAGGAAAACGGCAGCTGGATCTTCAAGAGGAAGCAGCACACGTGTTTCCCTACCCAAAATCTGGAAAATTCAAAGTTTGTGGCTCAGCACAGAATCCCTTTTGCCTCAATGAACACACAATGATGCCAAGCTTTGCTGAAAGCAGGACATCTCTGGTGAGCTCCCCTCCACCAGGTGCAGGTAGAAAGGGCCAACAGGTCCTCCCCTGAACAGTTTGACCCCAAAAGCACACAGATGTCTTTTTGTTTCCTACACTCAAGCCCAGCTCAATAAGAACATGCTCACAGTCCCTGTTTTCTGTTCAGGGGGCCGTTCCTGTCCATGCAGCGCTGTGGGTGAGCTGGTTGTTCTTCTCCCCATGAAGGTGCAGAGCAGTTGCCCTCTCATTTTCTGGAATTGTGCCTTCCCTGTGCTCTGCAGCCACAGCAAACCTCTCCAGGGAGACTTCCAGCCTGAGCCAGGCAGGTGAACGCTGACCCCTCAGCCACCTTCCTGCCCTGCCTTCCACAGCAGCTGGGAGCGGCCTGGTGAGTCCCTGCTTTAGGGTGTTAAAAGTTATCCAAAATAAAGATACATAGTTAAATCCTTGTTAAAAGCCTGGCCCTCTGGGTTTTTTTCATCCTCCTTCCTGTGGGAACATCAGGATGTGAACCAGGGGTGGTTGTTTGGTTTTTTTTTTTACAGCCTGGAACCTGTCAGACCCCTGTTGTTCCTCGGTGGTGGGGAAGTGCAGGATTTCCCATTTCCAGGTGTATCCACCGCTCCAGGAATTCCCTGAGCAATCCCCCTGCACGGCAAACAATATTAAAAACACCTCCACAGGACTAAAACCTGCAAGCCAGCCACCAGTGGCAGAGGAAGCCTCCGAGTGCTGGTTATCCCTGGATCCAAGCGGGGATCCCAAGGCTGCTGTTCAACACTCCTCTCCTCAGCAGCAAGGCTGGCTTAAAAAGCCACTGCTCCCCTCCCCCCGAGTGTTATTTTTAACCTGGATGATTTCAGTGATCCCATTTACAGCCCCACAGCTGTACCAGGACTGAGGAGCAGCACCTTGGGTGCGAAGACAGGAATAGGTGGCCGGGATTAAGGCGGAAGAGATCGGGAATTTCTCGGGCTGGCATTTTCAAAACCCCAGGCTAGAAGCAGATCTACGAGGAGATTTACGTTTTCAATATTTCTGTCACATGACACAAACTTACTCATCTCTGCACGGGTTCCTCCAGGTCCCCAAAGTCACAAGATTCCCCATCATCCCCTGCTTTTCCCCCTTCCACAGGCGCTCCCCAGGGAGTCACTCGCTCTGCTCTCTACCTGTGCTTCACATCCAGCAGGTTTATTGCCTTACTGTATTTATTACCTCATTTTAAAACGAGGTTTAACCACCTCCTCGGACCAGGATTTAAATCTGTTCCCATCTCAGATTCAAAAAATCTCCCTCGAACGCTTTTTAAGCTCTCTGTGCAACCATCCCATTTTTAAGGAAAAAGAAAAAACAACCCAGTTGTCCCTTACAGTTCTGTACCCGTTTCAAATCACAAGGAAAGACAGGAAGGCGAATTTGGGTGGCAGAGCAGCCTGAGAATGACTGGGAGACTTCAAGGATTTCATCAAAGTGATGAAACAAATTTATGGCTTTGAAGCACGAGCTCACGGGGAAGGTCTCTGCCTTTCAGAAAAGGCTTGAAAACTCAGCGGTTTAGGTCCGCAAACCCCTTCCCGGCGCTATCCCAGCCTCTCCAGCACACCGAGGCCTACCCTCACCGTGCCACACCGGGCACTTCTCCTTTCACCGCATAAATTAGGCTTTTTCCAGCAAAATCCCGAGCCATCCGAGCGCCTGGATGGAGCTCCCGGCAGCTCGCCGGGGGCCGAGCACGGCAGTGCGGGGGGACGGGGGGGCTCCCCATGGATTTAGGGGAGCTGGGGGGATCCCGGGCAGGCGGATCCCGGCGTTCCCAGGGTTATCCCACATCCCGGGCTGTGCCGGGAGGAGCCGCCCGGGGGGACCCGCGGGGGCCGCAGCGGGGCTGGGCGGGGCCCCCCCACCGGGTTTGGGGGGTGCGGGGGGTGCTGGGGAGGGGTTTGGGGGGTCTCCGGGGGGGTTTATCCATCCACACTGAATGGAAAAGGAGGGCGGGGACGGCCCCGAGGGGCCTCCCTGCACCTGCCCGCCGGGCCCGGGGCTGAGGGGAAGGGGAAAGGGGGTCTCGGGGGGTCCCTCAGGGACCGCGTGGGGAGGGGGCGACCGGGGCCCTGGAGGGGGGGACGGGACCCCTGAGGGCCTGGGGTCCCCTGGGGGTGCTGAGGGGGTGAAGGGACCCCTGGGGGGGGCGGCGGGCTGAGGGATCCACACCTGAGGGGGAGATGAAGGGACCCCTGAGGGGGGGGGGCCGGGAGGAAGAGGATGAGGAAGATGAGGATGGCGGGGGGGGGGGGGGGAGGGGAGGCCTCACCTGCACGGCGGCCTCCAGCTTTCCCTCGAAGGTGAAGTCGATGAGGTCCGGCTTGAGGCAGAGCCCGTAGTTGAGGGGGGACACGTCGGCGGGCAGCCGCTCGAACGGCCGCTTCTCCGGCATGGCGGGAGCGCGGGGGGTGCGGGGCTGGGCCCCCCCCCGGCGGGGCGGCGGCGGCGGCGGCGCGGGGAGGGGACGGGGAGGAGAGGGGAGAGGAGGAGGGGTGGGGGGGGGGAGGAAGAACGGCGGGGCGGGAAGGGCGACGCGGCGGCACACGGAAAGAGAGAGAGAGAGAGGAGCGGGAAGGGAGGAGCGGCAGGAGCGGAGGAGGATGGTGGTGGCGGTGATGATGATGATGATGATGATGATGAAGAAGAGGAGGATGAGGAGGAGCGGGAGCGGGAGGAGGAGGGAGGGGCGGGGGCGCGCGCGCGCGCTCCCGGCACGAGGCGGCCCCGGTGTGAGGGAAGGGGAGGGGGAGGCGGGGAGGGGGGCGGAGGGAGGCGGGAGGCGCGTGCGCGTGCGCGCGGCGGCGCCACGCGGCCGCGCACGTAGCGCGCGCGGCGGGGGGGGGGCGGGCGGAGGGGGGGGAAGAGCGGCGGAGACGGAGCGCGTTGCGTAAGAGGCGGGAGGGGGAGCAGCGCGCGTGCGCAAAGACGCGCCACCCCCCCCCCCCTCCCCGATTTGGACACGCCCTCCCCTTCCCCGGAGTGGACGCGCCCTCTTTGAGGCCACGCCCCCTCCCGCGCGGTCACGCCCCCGCTCCCCTCACTCCCTCACGGGGATGGGGAACGGGGAGGGCGGTGAGGGGGGTCCCGGTCCTCACCCCCTTAATGGGAGTCCCGGTGCTCACCCCCTTAATGGGAGTCCTGGTGCTCACCCCCTTAATGGGAGTCCCGGTGCTCACCCCCTTAATGGGGGGTCCCGTTGCTGACGGATCTGGGGGGCATCATAGAATAGAATCATAGAATCAGCTGGGTTGGAAGGGACCTCCGAGATCATCAAGTCCAACCCTTGATCCACTACCGCTGCCGTTACTAGACCATGGCACTGATGCCACATCCAGTCTCATCTTAAAAACCTCCAGGGACTGAGAATCCACCACTTCCCTGGGCAGCCCATTCCAATGTCCGACCACCCTCTCTGGAAAGAAATTCTTCCTAATCTCCAACCTAAACCTCCCCTGGCAGAGCTGAAGACCCAGCCCTCTTGTCTTGCTGATGGTTGCCTGGGAAAAGAGACCAACCCCCCCCGGCTCCCCCCTCCTGTCAGGGAGTTGCAGAGAGTGAGGAGGTCTCCCCTGAGCCTCCTCTTCTCCAGGCTGAACAGTCCCAGCTCCCTCAGCCTCTCCTCACAGCACTTGTGCTCCAGTCCCTTCCCCAGCCTCGTTGCTCTCCTCTGGACCTGCTCCAGCCCCTCCCTGTCCTTCCTGAGCTGAGGGCCCAGAACTGGACACAGCACTCCAGGGGTGGCCTCACCAGCGCTGAGTCCAGGGGAAGAATCACTTCCTTGGACCTGTTGGTCACCCTGTTCCTGAGCCAGGCCAGGACCCATTGGCCTTGTTGGCCACCTGGGCACACTCTGGCTCAGTGCACCCCATTATGGGGGTCCTGATGCTCACGGGCCCGGGAATGGCACAGTGCACCCTATTAATGGGGAGTCCCAGAGCTCTCCCCACTAATGGGTGGTCCTGGTGCTCATGGATCCAAGGGGGTGGCCCGGTGTGCCTCGTTAATGGGGGGTCCCGCTGCTCACAGCTTTCCCTGAGCCCTGCTTTTGGGGTGACAGCCACAGCCCAGCCCTGCTCTGGGTTTCGGATCAAAGAACTCATGCTCTGGCTCCATGTGGTGTTAAACATGGATCTGATTAATCTCGGCCTCCCAAAAGCGAGTGTGCCGCGGCTTTGGGGGTGCCACAAACTGCCTGTTTTAAGGAGGAAGCTGGAAATTATTCCTTGCCTTCCACCACTGGAAAATGGGACTGATCCTTTTTTTTTCATTCTTCTCCCACCGCCTCCCCCCCCCCAAAAAAAAAATCTATTTTTGCTAAAAGTGGTACCTCACTGTTTAAAATATAAGGCAGGGAGGGAGGGGAGCAGGGAGTTGAGGAGGGAAGAGGGATTCCAGGCGGGAAGCAGGAATCCAAGGGAGGGAGCAGGGATTCACTGAGACCTGGAGGAGCCAGCGGCACGAACTGGGGCAGGGAGAAAGTACAGACAGCTCTTAGCACATCGTTATAAAAACCAACCCGGGTTCATCTGGGGCTGCTGCGGGGCCGCATTGTGCTGCAGAGCCCCAGGGAGGGAAAGGGAGACAAGGAAACAGCTGGAAACAGCTGGAGCGGCGCGGGGGGTTGCGGCAGCTGCCGCCCTCCTCCATCCCGCCACCTCCCAGCGCCTCGGCGGGACACACGGACACGGGCAGACCGTGGGCTGGGCCCCGGCCCGGGGGGTGTTTCATGGCTGGTTTTGGAAGTGGGCTCCCAGCTGGATGCCGGAGAGAAAGTCCTGTCTCCCCCCTCAGTGAGGGAAGGGCTGGAGCGGTGATCCCACGGTTCATCAAGGAGGTTCCATGAGGGATTTGCAGCCAGGATGGATGGGATAGGACTCAGCCCGGCCGTGCCACACTGGGGACACCCCGAGGCCACCACGGCTGGCCAGAGGGATGAAGCCCAGCCATGCCACAGTCATGCTGAGGGATTTTGCCAGCCCCCAAAATCCCCTCCCTTCGCTGCCCTGGCACAGCTCGTGGCCATGGGCAGAGCCATGATGAGGTCAGGGGCAGGATAAACCTATTCCTGGAGCAGAGCTGCTTGGCACCGCGGGAGGGAAGCGCAGGGGATTGTCTCCTCTGAGCTTTAATTCCCATCCCCGGTGGCCAAAGGGTCACTGGGTGCCCTCCTGGCATGTGAGGGGGCTCAGTGGCCCAGTGGCCACAGGCCACGTGCTCAGCAAAGGCCCCTGGGCACTTTCTGTGGCTGCTGGAGGTATTGTCAGATGACAGATGCTGCTGTCAGCAAGAATCCAGAGAGAAAGAGGGAAGAAAGACCGAGCCTCCATGGAGAGAGCCAGGGGGAAGCCTCCTCCTCCTCCGCAGTGTCCCGACCAAACCGGGTCCTCCTGCAGCGCCAGACTGGGGAGGGCCTGGGGACAAACAGGGTGGAAGCCAGGACTTGTAATTACCCCACAGCCACCAACCGCTGTCAGTGCTCCCTTCTAACCGGGGGAGAAAAAGGGGGAAGAAAAGAAAAAGGAAATTCCCCAGGGAGGCTTTTCTTTCCTTCTCTCTTTCGCCGGAGCTTTGGCCGTCCCTGGCCGGAGCGGGAGCAGCCGGAGGGCACCGGCTAATCCTGCCTCGAAGGTCTGGCCCGGCGGCTTAGGGCTGGAATCTCTGGCATTCGGGAGCAGGGGGACAGCAGCACTCGAAGCTGCGAAGTGGCTCTCGGGGCCTCTTGCTCCGGGGGACATTCCCGGGGGGTTGGGAGGCGTTTTGCCTGGATTCTCCCTCTCCCTGTGTGTCCGTGTGTGTGCGTGCGGCTCTTCCCGTCGCCTCCTGCCTCGCCAGGTACCCGGGACGAGTTGCACAAGGATGGATGGATGGAGGGAAATGGGGCCAAGCCCCTGCCTGGAGGTGGCAGGGACAGCTCAGAGCCCTGATCCCAGCCCTGATCCTGCTCTCCCGTGGGACAAATCCCTGGCAGAGTGGTGGTTGTGCAAGGGGAAGGTCACATGTGGGCTGGGGGCACCATCAGGTGGCATCTCCAGATGGAGCCCCATCCCAAACTGCAGGCAGGGATTCTCCCAGATCCCAGCAGCCCCCCACAACGAGGATGTGGCTCCGGGGTGGTTCCAGAGCCCTGAAACGATGCCCACGGAGGTGAAACCGGCTGGGATGGCACCACAGGGCAGCTCTGCAGCCAGGAGAACCGGACAGGCTGGGAAAATCCAGCCCCACAAGTCCCAAGCCGTGGGAAAGCGCTGGGGCCGTGGGGCACCAGTGACTCAGCCCCGTCTGCTCCAAGACTGGAGCCCCCACAGCCCCAGGGCTTCATCCCTGTTTTCCAGAGGGTAAACCAGGTCCAGTTTTCCCACTGTGGCACAGCGGGGAGCATCCCCCCTCTCCTATTTTTGACCCTCCACGAGCATCACCTCAAATTTTGGGATGCAGATGCAATGCACACACACACACACACACACACACACACAGTGGGTGCCTGGCCTTCCCCCTTGCCCCCTGGCTCGGCCGCTCCCGGCTCATCCCGCTCCCGCCGGCGCAGATAACAGCGCGGGCCGGGATCAACGGTCTCGGGCACAGCGGAGCCGTCACTACACATTAACCAGCTGTCCGATGGAGCAACGCGGCCCCGGAGCCAAGATCAACAGTCCCCAAAGCAAACTGGGAGCGGGGCCAGGCGGAGCCGGCGCGCCCGGAGCCTCCCGACGAGCCCCCCCCGGCTCTCGAGGGCCCCCCCCGGGCTTCGCACACCCCCCCCCCCCGTGCTGGGATCGCCTGTGGGGCCGTGGGCGGGTGATGAGCATCCCCAGGGTGTCCCTGCGGCTCCCAGAGATGGAATTTCGAGGGGAGAGGGTGTGGGATGAGTTGGTTTGTGTTAGGGCGTTCGCCAGCGGGGACATTCGGAGGGTGCCCTGCCCCTGAGCCCCTCTCCAGCAGCAGCGGCATCCTGGGAATGCTGAATCCCAGGGGTCTGGGCTGTCCCAGGGTCATCAGGACAGACGCCTAACACGAGACCTTCTCCAGCACCAGCATCCCGGGAGTGCTGCATCCCAGTGTTCTGCGCTGTCCCAGGGTCATTTGGATGGACTCCTGCCCCTGAGCCCCCCTCTGCCGGCAGCATCCCGGGGGTGCTACATCCTGGGCTGTCCCAGGGAGGTTTGGAGGGATCCTTCCCCCTGAGCATCCCCCACTTTGCCAACAGCCCCCCAGAAACTCTGCAGCCCGGGTTGCCCTGGGCACATTCAGAGGGACCCCTGACCACATGCCCCCCTCTGCCAGCAGCCCCGCGGGGGTGCCGCATCCCAGGATTCCAGGTTGTTCCAGAGACATTCAGAGGGACCCCTGTCCCCGAGTCCCCCCTCCGCCGCCATCCCCAGGGGCTGCCGTGAA